CACGACCTGGACTGAGCCAGCTGTCCGCAGAGGACCAAGATATTAATTCTAGTGTCGCCGTAGTTCCTTATCTGATTGAGACGGGATGGCTTCGAAAGGACCGCCTTAGCGCAACTATCCTTCTGACAGATAAGAACTTTGCTTCTGGCAGTTCACCGCGAAAACGTACAAGAAAAAAATTCCCTTCGTACCCCATATATGGTGATTATCATTCAAACTTTCGTTGACGTCGCGCAACGATAGGATAAGGTTTCGAGTGAAATACCCATTTGGGAGCAAAGTCAGGCATTCCCCGAGGCGCTAAAACTCGTTGAATATTCTTCCACGGAAGCTCAATTTAATTATAAATGGAGCCAGTAGGTTGGGAAGGGCGGGAAGGCGCGCGATCCCAGAAGGCTATGCTCTTGATCTTCAGGGCAATAGAGTCGCTTGGCCATCATGATGGCCCGGACAATCTAATGTAAAGTTGGCAGTGGCTGGAAAATCTATTGCCGGGTTCTCGAGTGGCGTAATCATTTCTCTCCAGACTTCGAACAGCGAAAAAATCGCATGACGGCAAGCACAGCCAGCCGCACTCCACTATGAATGCCTTCAAGCCGCGATACTGCCCTCGCAACCACAACGTTTGCCATCATAATAGCAGCAGGTACATACAAAGCCTACAAAAGCCATGAGGATAAAATGAAGCAAGAATCAGGAAGAAAGCTCAAGATCATGGCATCGTATCAGCTCCCAATCGGCTTCCCCACCTTCAAAGCCGTTGGTAAAAGCGTGCGGGGCTTCTTGTTTTGCATTACGATGCCAGATTGGCTCTCACCCAAATCTGACCCTATACAACCTAGCAGCTTAGAATAGACGAATGGGTTTGCCCATCGTGCTCTTGATATGCAGCGATGAAACATTTTGCCAGTTCTTCTTGAGAAGCGAAACGAGGAAGTTGATGCCTACGACAGCGTGAGAGGCAGTTATCTTCGCATAACGGTAAAATCCATACTCATCATCACGTTCGCAAGGACTTGGTCATCAGTCATCTGGACATGTCCGACGGCAACACCCAAGCAAAGAACCTTCTTCAGCTGGAACTTAATCGTCGATCGGACTTCGTTGAGCTTGTTCGCTAGATCCTCAGCATGAGAGATAGGAGTAGGGAACTTTCCGGCTAGTCGATGGAGTTGAAGGCGTGAGAGATCCCCGGGCGAACACTAATTGATTTCACCTTTAGAGAGACCGGGTCCAAGAAGACGAGGGATCTGCTTGATCAAGGCTTCAGAGGCCAAGAATGCGTCGTACTTCTTGGCAAGTTTCTTCACAAGCTTCTTGTTCTTGTTCAGTCTAGCGAAATTAATCAGAAATGATATCAGGACAAGCTTGGCATTGCTCACTTTTTCAAGTCGTCAACCGACTTGTACTCGAGTTCAATTTGCTTGGCGCGATCGATGTCAGCCGCATCAGCAAGAATGCAAATGGACATGCGCGGGCGAGGGACATTAGGCAGCCTGAGATATTGTCAATGACGACGTGTCATACTCGATGGGTGGTACACACTTGACGGTACCAGAGAAACGCTTGTCCTTTTGAGTGTCGTAGTTCTTGAGACCAATTTGAAGTTCGATGGTTTCCACAAAGTTGCGTCTTTTCTCGCCATTGGCTTCAGCCAGGAGGTCCTTGACGGAGCCCCGCACGCTTGCCACTGATAGCTTACTATGTAATAGTTAGAGACGATGGAATCAAGAATTAGAAAACTTACGAGCTCATGCTTGGTGATAGATTTTTTTGAGGGGGTGGGTCTTGAGGATGATATGAAACAATAAGGTTCAAGTGGCGGAATACATATACAGCGTGACACGCTTACGTAATTACGGGTGAAGTGTGACGACTGGAAACCTGATCGGCTGCTCGCGAGCGCCGAGTCTCGGATCATTATTTGTGATGCTACTATTATCAATGATACTCCATGTCCATGCACTATGGCTTGCAAAACAGTATCTACGGCCATATAAATCTTGTGAGCTTTGGGTAAACCAGGCCGAAAGATCGCTAATTCATGTCACATTTTCAGGCACGTCAATCTACTTGTTGTACGAACTGACAAGTCTGTGCACAAGACGGACTCAATCCGAATAGGCTCGGAGTCGAGTAGTTTACGGGAGCACAGCAGTCGACGTTGACGACGACATTTTGGAATTGATCAGGCCTGAGCACTGAGCACCGCAACACCCATGGGCCTATCAGCAATTTAATCATATCTAATATATTCGGCGTTCTGTTCGGTATCGAACTTTTATTGCTTCACGTACATTGGCTATAAAATATGAAACTATACTGACCTCTCTAACTTATCAAGCCATGCTTGCCATCGTTCTGCTGCTCGCTCTGCCATTCTGCACCGCAGAGTCAGCATCCAGTCACGCAGGATCAACCGTCGCTGATTCTTATCCTCCCCCCGGTGCTACCAATACTGCTGTTGACACTTACTTCCCGGATGCATCGCAGGTCGGTTATGCAGGTCCAACGCCTAGTCAGTGATAGTCGATAATGTTGATTGCTGTGTTCTAATAATAATAAAATCAGCTGGTGCTGAACCTGCGGCCATCGTCACTGCAGTCCCGTTCTCTAAGGTCGAAGACGTATTTCCCTTGTCGAGGCCTAATTCGGCAGACGGCGCAGACAACACTTTCAATGTGATGCGTCAATGGGGCAACTTTGCGCCCATGTACTCCGTCGAGTCATTTGGTCTTCCTGATACATCCCCCGTCATCCCAGAAGGGTGTGGCATCAATGCAGTGCATCTCTTGATGCGCCACGGCGCCCGCTATCCAGCTTCCGACGAGCCCGGACCTTCTCAGTTCGCTTCCAAAATCCATGCTGCTGCATCGAAAAAAGGCTTCCGTGCCACTGGTGATTTGGAATTCTTGGCAACCTGGACATATAAGTTGGGCGTAAATAACTTGACCCCTTACGGCCGTGAATCGCTGTACGTGAGCTCTGCTTTACGATACTTCTACTGATGCTCCCCTCCATCAGCTTTAGCAACGGGGTTGCCTTCCGCTACAGATATGGCGAGTTGCTCAATGCCTTCACTGACCTCCCGGTATTTCGTACTACTTCACAAGGTTTGCCTGCATTGAATCCTTGTTTCAAAAGCCCACTGATGGTTTGCTTATGTCCTATAGATCGCATGTTGGATTCTGCGTGAGTAATTCATTCACATTTCTGCGTGCGCTATGCCTAATAATGCTATCCGTAGTCTGAACTTTGCTGCAGGCTTTTTTGAGCTCAGAACTTACGAGACCGACTATCACCAGGAGATCATCATCGAGGAGATCAACTTCAACAACACCCTCGCTCCTTTTCAAGTGTGCCCCAATGCCAATTCGGATGATATCGGTAACTTCGGTGACACTAAGACTAGTGAATGGGCAGATATCTATCTTCAAGATGCTCGAAGGCGCTTGCAACCAATGATCCAAGGACTTAATTTGACTATTGATCTATTGATTGACATGCAGGAACTGTGCGCCTTTGAGGTAGTTTCATCCTTTACGCGGTCTTTATGAATTTCTGACATCCTGCAGACCGTGGCCCTCGGATATTCCAAGTTTTGCGACCTTTTCACGGAGGAAGAATGGGAAGGATACGAGTATTACGTCGGTATGTTCTCTCAAATGATCCTTGCTGAGCTCGGCACTGAACTCTATCTTCAGATCTCGGTGAGCGCATTGAGTGGTAAACTTGCGACCGAGTGACTAATGACTTGATTGTGAACGAAGATTTCTGGTACAGCTGTGGACCAGGCAATCCAACGGCAGCAGCGCAGGGCCTTGGCTATGTTCAGGAACTAGTGTCGCGTCTCACTCACACTCCCATCAGTGTCTGGAACAGCAGCACCAACAGCACTCTTGACTCGAGTAACATCACATTCCCTCTCAATCAACCTATATACGTGGATTTTACCCACGACGTAGTCCTTGCAAGTGGTATGTCGCCACTTCCTTTCCAATACAAGACTACTGACAGAAGGGCTCAGTCGCCACTGCTCTGAACTTTACTAGTCTAGCTGCAACCGGTCCTCTGCCAGCCGACCATATACCCCCTCACCGTGTACGCAGTCTCATACCACCGCTTGTCCGTATTTCTGACCAGCCACATCAGTCTTACATTTCCAGCCAGATTGCACCTTTTTCCGGCCAGCTTGTAGCTCAGGTGCTAAGTTGCCCAGCTTCAGAGGAACCAACTCATATCCGATTCCTCCTGAACGACGGTGTGGTGCCGTTGACGGGCATTCGTGGTTGCACGGAAGATTCAAACGGTCTCTGCGCGCTGCCAAGCTTTATCAGCGGGATGCATGAACGAATTGGGCAGATTGACTTTGCGCATGATTGTTTCGCCAATTATACCATGCCCGATCCCGACAGCATTATGGATGGGAGATGTCCTAGTTAAAAGGATGGTGGAGTGTGGTCGTATAAACCCACGAGTTGCCACCTTTTGGAGATTGTTAATGATGTCGGAACAAGGTAAATGACGCGCATCTCGTACTCGACGAGCAGGGTTCGTTGTTACATATAATGTGCTGTGACCGCATTTATATATAGAGGGCACTGATCAGGATGATGTATATGCTGCCAATACGTGCAGTACGGAGGTTCATATGGCATTATATTTGCATGTCTATCATTTATATAATTATTATTTGCGCGCTGCGCGTTTTCACATTGACAGTTTTGTCCGCACATTGGTAGATTGTCCTCCAAGTTGGTTGCAATCTGATGACCTTCCGAGTCTGCTGCTGCTGTTCATTCATGTTTGAAATCTGGGTGAACTAGCTACTAGGTCTTTCGCAAATCTATAAAGAGGTTGCGGGAGGGTATTTACTCGTTGTACGACACGATGACAGACGGGATCCGAACAGACCCTCCGGATGCGGCATGCCGGTCGGAGGCTGCCGGAAATACGAATTCCCAGACTGTCTGGACAATCGGACATATCGAGCGCCTTCGGTGTCGACTAGCACAACAACTTCACAGGGCGCTCACAAGCAATATGCTCTCTGCCCGTTCCTTCTAACCACCAACGTTAAATATTCAATCACTTATCTCTTTATTTCTTTTATTTCTTCCTTTGTTGTATACCTATTAGTCATTGTGGTACGTGTATTCTTTTCATGCTACAGCTATTCTGACCGAGTCACATCTCCATTCCAAAGATATGACAGAACCTTGGGCTTCCCAGGGCGGGACGCCGCTGTAAGCCATGTGTTTCTCTTTGTGGTAAAGCAAAGTACTAAGCAAAGTAAAGATATGATACCCCTGAATCTGATCTAGCATCTCTTTCACCTCGGACGGCACTGCTATCGCCTCCCTATGAGAATGCCGAGCTAGTAACCAGACCGCGCCGTATCAATGGCGTCCCCAACAACAAATTCCGTCACGAGCGCGAGCGCGTTCACGCAGCTGCGAGCGCTCGTGACCTCTTACGACTCTTAGTAAACGAGGAGTATGAGGCGAAGCAGACTCGCAAAGTGCTCTATACTGCATTAGACAGATTGGACGCCGAAAGTCGTCGTGCTGAAGAAGCAGAAACCCAACTAGCAGAGGCTTTGGAACGGACGCGGTCTATCAATGAGGCGCGCGTTGCTGCCCAGCAAGAGGCAGCTCGGTCGCAGGAGGAACTGAGGCTCTACAAGCTGCAACTTGACAACGCGCAGAGAGAAATTCTTAGAGCCCAAGATATACTGGGAGTCATTGAAGCCCAGAGGGATGACGCGGAGGCTGCCGCCGCATGACGCGCGCTCAAAGGCTCGAAAATTGAATGAAGAGCGCTTGATTGAGCTCGCAAGGGAGGAGGGTCGCAGGCTCGGGTATGAAGAAGGCATTCGACGCGGTCGTAATATGGGTTACCGAGAAGGGCGCGTCGTTGTTATTGATGACGGTCGGTCTCCAATGCGAGAAGCCCCTGCCGCTACCGACTCACGGGAAGAAGCAGAGGTAGCTCCTGTAGTTCTACCTCCTCAGTCTGCACCAGTCACACCCATGCCAGAGAGCCGAACCGCACCAGAAGTCCTCCGTGTTTCAACACCTGTATCATCTTCACTTGATGGCCGTCGTGACTCTCGTTCTCGTTCTCATCGTGATTCTGAATCTGATTCCGTCAGTCGAATGAGCATGCGCGCTCCTGACCCCATAGTAATGCCTGTCATGGTTGAACACCCGCGGCTTAGTACAGACCCCTCCGTTACCAGTCAATCTTCTCGTTCGCATTCACAGCCCCAACCTTGGCCCATGTCAGATCGTTCTTCAGTTCGGTCACCCTCAATCAAACCAATATCAGTGATAAACTCTGCACCTAGTGTTCAGCACTCAGAGTTCCAAGTCCCACCGGACGGCTACATACCAACCCTGGACAAGGACCAGCGCATTCTTCTCCCTCCCCCGCATGAACTTATCCGCAATATGTCTTCACCAACACCATCACAACCTGTCGCTGGCCCGTCCTCAGATTCTGTCAGAACGTTCGACTATCCTCGCCGTGCCTCTCCGGAGTCACAAGCGTCAACGAAGATGTCTATGTCTCAATCCTCCACCATGTCAGCGCTCGAGATTATTGGCCTGCCTAATATGACGAGCCGCGACAAACGTCGAGAGCGCAACGGTCTGAGTATCATTCATGAAGATGCAAGCATCGCAGCCGATTATGAAACCGTGACTGGATCTGATGCAGGACACCATCACCATCGCAGCGAAAGACGCAACGAAAGAGACGCAGACAGTGACGCTACCAAGCACTCGCGGAGAGACCTATCAAAGCAAAGACTTGCTGACGAGCTGAGATGGTCTAACCCAGCCGAGCCTGAGGAATGGCGTCGATATGGCGCAGAAAAGGTTTGCTTTTATACTACATGGAACGCGGTTTGAGTTGACGAGGGACACAGACTCGCACGCAAAGTTCTAATGGTCCCCCCCGTCCTCGCCCAACGAACGTGACAACGCCCAACCCGCTTTCTCCTCTAAATTCGGATGACGCTAACACACCTCTGCCTCGGCATCAGCAACATTCAAGGACAGCATCCACTCCTAGTCAACGAGGATCGAATAGATATGACCACCGAAGGGTCGTATCGTCAGACAGCTCTGTCCCTGAAATAACCATCGAGCCCCCGGTAAGTGTCATTACTCTACCCTAGATAAATGCTAAAGCTAAGCCTTGACAGTCCCGCCCTCCCTCTGACGCTCCATCGAGACGTGCGTCCATATCTGGACTACTCAGTCCCGATCATGCCAACCACCCGCTCCCTGTGCCTGTGCCTGTTTCGCAACGCGCCCCACTTGTTCCTACAGTTCCTAACACTCCCGTTTCAGCGCCTGTCTCGTTGGTAGGGTCCATGTATGACATAGGACAGCTGCCAAGCGGTGCACCGCCTCCAGGGGGTCCTGTCATCCCGTATATGAACGAGAGAGAAGCACCCTCGCAACGCAGTTCGCTTTACGCAGCCGCCCAGCCTGAGGGTAGGCGGTCACAGACCCCTCAATCTTACGTGGCCTCCCCAGTCCCCACTGGTGTTTCCTACCCCGCACCGCCTATTTCCAGGCAACCGACGCCAAACGGCTCCTCACAGCGTGGAGGCAGTTCCTCGACGCATGAACGCCGGCCGAGTCTAAGCCAGATGGCGGGAATGACGCCTGGCGCACATCCGCGGTCTCTACAACCAAGCGGCGGCGAGACTTCGCGTTCGTCCCACAGACAACGATCAAACACGTCAAGTAGTTCGCACCAGTCGTTCACGCATTATGACCCAGGCGTGTACAATGACCCTGCGTATTTTGCGAGTAGCGAGTCATTGGTTTCTCGGACGGATGCGAATACGACTGCGAATGGGGGTGGGCTGAGGAGGACCTCGTAGATGCCCATGACGTCCCCTCCATTTTGACATGGGAATACTCGAACGACTTGGATGATTTTTGTCGCTCGAATTGTCTTTCTTGTTGAATCTTGAGCATGATATCTATTGTATCGCGAATCACTAACACCGAGTAATCAACTAACTAGTAGGTCTGCATATCCACCGCTGTTGTCTTCACCATTGCATTTCAATTATATCATCATCGGGACGTCCGAGGATCGTGTCCCTGAATTAACAGACTGCTTGTCTTCATTTACCTCTACTTTTTTGAATGAATCAAAAAATTGGAGCGCCCGCAATGGAATGAGCTACAAGGGAAACTCCAGGCCAGACCTCTATAGTCGACTCGAGCCAGGACTCCTGCCACTGCGCCGGGACCCTTGGCGCTCCCGAGGACCTGCGTTAGACCATTCACACTACACCATCTTTCGACAGTCCACCACTTACTTTATGCCCTACGCAGCCTTTGTTTACGGAATGGTTCGTATACCCCCAAACGTAGGTGCTCGGCTAGCTGGCTCTACGTAGACTCAATACTGGATTTAGTTACAGCATTTGCCCGCGAGCAGCTCTTTCATGCTGGCCACGATAAAAGAAGCATTTACAGATGTACCATCATACGCAGACGACAGCCACCGGTTCAGTCACTGAGTACTGAGTTCCAGCGGACAACAAAAGTTCGTACTTCTCCACAGGGGTATGGTCAATTTATGTAATGATCAGGCTTAGGGGTGTGCGATTTAACCACACTCTTCCACCTAACCACATCAGCGAAAATGGACTCGGACGCCTCATCAGTTTCCTCGAACTCAGAGCCAGAGCATGAGCTCTCCGTCTTCGAGCGCATCAGGGAACATCTCGATTCTTTTTCCTACTCTGATGTAGCATATGAAGTGAAAAGAGAGACCAAGCTCACACGTGCGCTCGACAACCTTGCCTGCAGTCCGTTCGTGTCCTTCAAGAGCCCGGTAGAGACAGTCACATGTAAGCTGCTCGTCAAGGGAGAAGACGCGGGGACGTGGATGAACCCTGACGTCAGCGTATTACAAAAGCACGCCACCCCTTCGCCGTTCGGCAGGGGAGCAGAAACTGTCTTGGACCCAACTTACAGGAACGGAACAGAGCTCAAAGCATACCAGCTCGCTTTCAGCTTGCAGGGGGAGGGAACACAATATAGACAGTTTGTGAGCGAAGTCGAGGATAAACTTCAGACCACCATGTTCGTCGGGAGAAACGTTTCCCTCAAGTTATACAAGCTCGCCATATACGGCGAAGGAGGCCATTTCGACTGGCATCGTGACTCGACGCATAGCGATGCTCACCATGGAACAGTGCTCGTCGCACTTAACACAGAATGGGAGAGAGGAGAGCTTATGTTGAGGCATCAAGGCGTCGCGACAATCGTCAACATGCATCCAACAAAGCATAGCGAGGAGCTCCAGCCAGTTGTGGTCGCATTCTACACAGACACAGAGCACAAAGTCATGCCCGTGACCAAGGGCACACGTCTGGTGCTCCAGTATGACGTCGAACTCGCCGAGCAAGTATCTCGATCTTGGATTCAACTACCTAGTTACACTCCCATGCAACAGGCTTTTCTTCGTCACCAGTACGTTGCATCCCACATCAACACTTATCCCAACTTGGACCAGAAGTTGGTGCAGGCTGTCATTGATGAAATCAGAGAATTGCACAACGAAGGGATTACTGTCGTCGCTTTCCCGCTCCCTCATCTCTACCGCAAGGCAAGCGTGAAGAAGAAATATCTCAAGGGAACCGACTCGGCGCTTTTTGATGCCCTCGAGAATCATTTCAACGTCGTCCTCCATCCTGTGCTTATCCGCGCTAACGAAGACGGCGATCATTCGGACTGTGTGGAGCGGTTCTTTGCACACAAGTATCAACCGTCTGAGGAGAATGAAGAAGAGCCTTCTTCGAGTCGTGCTAAGAGACAGTGGGGCAGAGTTTTCAAGAATGCTTCGTTCTATCTTCCACGGGCCTGTGCAATTCTGCAGCTTTCGTTGCCAAACGGGGCACACTTTGGTAATGATGCAGATGTCAGTGGGGAGGCAAGGTATTACGGCGCTGGCATGTTTGTGGAACCCAAGCGCGAAGAGTAATGGTGTTCAGGGGATCCAGTTTCGGTATAAAGAGAAATCCGCGTTTAAATCAGGACTGTTCGAAAAGGAGAAGTGTACTAGTACTAGCAGCTTTTGAAAGCAACTGTTCAAAATACATAGTATACCTTGACATCAACACGGCATATTCATCTATTAAGTGACAAGTCGTTCTTGGATATCCGCGTTCTTGGGCGCGCGAGAATGCACGAGTCGACCTCAGTTTCGCAAGATATGTATTTGTGCAAGTACGTTCCTTGATGCGCGACCTTACACTGATAGGAGTAGCCAATCGGTTCGACGTGATCAAAAGTGAGGACAACCCTCCTGAAATTGACTATGGTAACTCGACTGTCAGGCTCGTGCGAGGTTCTGTATTGCGAGAACTGGTTCAAAATGCAGGAATTCATGATATCTGGAGCTGTATAAGTAGTGTCCGAGGTCCTGCTAAGCTTAGGATCGTCGACGCTCGTTAGTACAGTCGGAGATCGCTGATAGGGCATCACGTTCCATAATTCGAACTGAAGACTCGTGGACGTCAGGAGTGTGAGCACGAACGTCTTTATGAAGACTTGGTATCGAATTTCGTGAGATGATAATCTAGCGATGCATTTGTGAGTTTGGAGTTCTCGTTAGGAAATCAGTAGTATGACAGGACAGGACAGGACAGGACAGGACAGGACAGACCTTAAGACCAGATGTGCACATGAACAACCCTTCAGGGCTCTGTGAATGGTACAGTCCGCCATAGTCCACAGTCATGGTCGGGGTATTTGCAGTTAGTTTGTTGATGGAGAAGCTGCACGGCTTGATGAGATTCATCTCGCAGCCGCCGAAGATGTTGTGACTGCGAATGTGGGTAATGGGTAGGCGGAGTAATTCCGGGTGAGCGACATAATCTTGGAGGGGGGGGGGGGAACACACCAGCCTGAGTGTGGTAGAACTGGCCTGGATCCCAATGCGAACGTGGAGACTCGACTTGAATATTAATGTTGGAATACCAACTTCTACCTCTTTCCCTCAGTCCAACTCCATCGTCGAGATTCGACACGCCCGTGTTGAAGGAAATGTTCGCATCTGAATCCCAAAACATATCATTGGACATACTGGGGAACTCATCGACACCCGGTCCCACTGCCAATCGCGTCAGCAATAATCATGCGGGCCCTACCCAGAGTGGCAACTTACCTGAGAGTATCCAACGAGGATTCGTCAAGAATAGTGAGTGCAGATTCAATGCGCTTGCCTCCGTCCCTGATGCCACAGTGCCTTACTATTGTAGGAACGACATGGCCTGGATGAGCGAATGAAAACGATAGGGAGTTGGGTGGACGTCTATTGAAGCGCTTGGGCTACATAATTGGCGGCTGCCAGTGCGCAGCCATATCGATACTCAGCATATTAGCGGAATCTGGATGAGTGAGAGGATATGGGGTTCAACTATTGGCAGTACTACATTCAGAGTTACCGCACAACCAGAAAAAGTGAGACCCCATGTTGTCGTCGTGTAGGTGTGTGCAGACATGGTAGTAAATATGCTCCCCTCAGACTTAGTTTGAAAGACTGAGTGGAACCAATATCGTACTGGGAGTAGAAAGGTAGAGTGATGTGAGTAGAAATGGGTATTGTGGATATAAAATAGATATATAGAACAGATAAACCGTGATGCCGACCACGTTGTATCATCACGAACCCTCTTTTGTCCTAAGTACGAAAAACAATGAGTCACCATTGGGACAGCGATAGAAATGAAAAGGCAGACCGTACCTCTATGGTTACTCCACGATCCAATCCTAGTCGCCATCGCTCTGATCGCCGTTGCTATTAGAAGTGTTAGAAGGGTTGCTGGTGTTGCTAACGTCGGGGGCCCGAACGCTCAAATAGTCAGCGTCACTACTGGCAGAATTGCTGGAGTGACTAGTATTGTCGTCAGGAGCCCGAACGCTCAAGTACTCAGCGTTGCTATTAGCAGTGTTGCTGGAATGACTGGTGTGATTGGGGTCGTTAGAATCACCAGAAGTGGTGGAAGGGTCGGTGGAAGGAGTGTTGGAAGGAATGCTGGAGCGACTATCATCGGGGGCCCGAGTGTTCAAGTAGTCGATGTCGCTATTGGGAGGGCCGCCGGGCATGCTAGGTTGATTAACATCGTTGGGGGACCTAGCGTCCAAATAACCAACGAGGTTAGAGCCAAGCCCCTCACGCTTAGCCAAAGCTGCATTGCATATCAATCCCACACCCATCAACTAGAGTTCGGTATAAGTTCTTACAAGAAAGTTCCATCACCGATGGTGTGGGATATGCTGCCGCAATAACAATAAAGGAAAGGAGTGTCTTGAAGACAAGTGAGGGCTGCATGACTGTAATTGAGAGGAATGGTCATTAGATGTCAGAGAGTTGCGAGATTTTTATACCTTCAACCACATGCAGACGTATCGTAAGAGCCCAGGTCAAAATATGGCGACGATAATCACGGTTCCGAGTAGCCAGAAGTTCTTCTATGTTATAATTTCGGTTCGGCCTCCAGTGGCTGGTATGAACTTCAAGTTCCTTCTCTTGCTGTAACGATTGCTTCGACTAGGTTCTGACGGGAAGACACAACAGCCTAATCAGATATGACAACGAACCAGCGAGTAGACTCAAAATAGTTACAGCTCACCATGGACATCCCTAGTGAAGTTGGGTGAGATCACAAATAGGGATGGTACGAACCTCAAGCTCGGGAACTTCCAGGTGCTCTGGTTGAAGATGGTACTGGATGAAAAAGTCCAACATTAGGATCTGTCATGCGCTCTCGTAATGTTCGAACTCGAAGGTGAGTGGCACTTATTAGTAGCTTCGTTTATCTGAAGTTGCAAGAAGAAAAAATAAGATCACAAATCACGTTAGAGTGCTTCATACGATGCAAAGATACCCATGATGCGACCCATGCGATATCAAATACGGATGGGTCAAAAGCGTCGAGGAAAACCCGGACGTTGGAGAAGGGCATGGTTCATGATCATTTTGATGGTTCTGCCAGCCTTCAACAATGTAGAAGGTATGCATAGTGGCGAGATATACTGGCTTATCGGGATCGAATCTGCTACATAGTCGTTAGCTGTCGTCTCTGCGACTTTGACAATAATAAGGCAGCGCCGTAACTTTTGGGTTCGATGGCATAGAACGGTTGAGAATCAGATGAATGATATTGGCGTCGAGCTTGAGAGAGTACTCTAGTCTCTGATAAATTAGTGTTGGTCTTCGAAATGACATACCTTCTCGTGCCGTGTCATTTCACACTCCGCCCTCGGCTGGACTCCGTCGTTCAAACAGTGTATATTCCAAATCGCTAAACTCTCACTTGCACTGACTAGCTAGCGGTCATCCAGAACAATTATCAGAATCTCCGGCGCCCTGTGTTGGCCATAGACAGTCTTGAAGGCTTCGAGATACTACTTTAAATGTCAAGACTGAAGACACTGAGGTTCATTCAGAGTATCAGACCATCTCCAATACTTTCCAATTTATGCGCTCGCAAAAGCGACGTGCAAATGGTGTAAAGATTCGCTCTGCAGTCCCAGATGCATCATGAATGATATATTATCTACCATTTTGTGAGCCGATAAATGTTATGACGAGCTACTCTTTGAGTGTGATCTCCAGCTTTGCATGTAGTGTGTTATCGTAGTCTACATCTGTGGAATTGCTGCGATAAAACAGTCAGTTGAATTCGTCAAAGGAGACGAGTGGCAAGATATGTCGCTTGCTGCATCACTGTTGCAAGAACCGAGTTGAGGAAACAAGACTTACTCGTACGTCACCCAGTGATCATCCAACCACCAACTTATGTTAAAAAAACGCTCGCCGTCTACATCGCCGATGTATCTGCATAGCCAACGGAGGAACAACAAATAGTTGCATGGGAATTATAAATGTATCAGTACCTCAGATTCGAATGTGTCAAGGCAGATTTAAACTTACTCCTCCGACACGAGCGTTTCCGTGAATTTTGTTCCTACCTCCTTGTACACCCTTTTAGGCGGTGTTTCACGGCCAGGTTCCCCGTTTTCTGTTTCTAACAGAAGTGAAGGACGTGGAGAAGCTGGAAGACTAGGCGAAGAGAGACAAAAGCCAGCGACCCATCTCCCCTTCTTCCCCATATAAAAGCGGAAACACCATATACGTCCTGCAGGAGATGGCTGAGCGTACAAACCAAAAAATGTGAATCTATACCTCGCGCAACAAAATCATAATTTAATTCTCGTGTAGCGCGTAGACGTTTCTGGAACATCCTGATACGGAAGGAAGCAACGAACTGGTGGTCGTCCAGTTCTCCCCCATGATGTACTTCAATCTCATCTGGTGGACAACCCAGAAATCGTCTTAAAGACTCGTCCTTGGCTGATGAGTGCATTATACATCAATACAAACATTCTCGATTGGGCATTGCAAAGGACTTACTATTAGTATTTTGAAAATTCAGCTGCGAAAATGATGCTTGGTCGCTAGTTTGCATGCACGCAAGACGTAGGTCGGAAGAGCATTTGAATGAAATTTTGGAAATGAATTCAATAAACGCCGAGAATACTTCTCGCTGGTGATTCACAATTGCCCAATATAGCGCCGTGTGACCCTCGATATTGGGTGTTTGCAGAAGGTCGGAGAGCTCTGCAGCTGTGAGATCATGAACATATGCATTGACGATCGATTCAATGGAGGAAGGGGCGACATATGTGGGGGAGACAAGATCACGAATGCGAGATAGAGCGGTGGCACGTCTCTGCTTGACTGATAAAAAGGAGAATACGGATGGTTGTCTGCATTTGACTTGGATGTTATAAATTGTGTTGTACGAGGGAGGTGAGCCAGTAATGGACTTGCTATCACCAGATTTCGTAGCCATCATGGTGGGGTGAGTGATGCGAAGGGGATGGTAATACAATAGAATAGGGGCGTCGTGCCAAGCATCCCACGAGACCCCATAGGGTACTGTCAAATGGGCGTGCTTTAGAGTACAAGTACTGTGTGGTCCGAGGCACATTTTTTAGGAACGGGCTTCGTTTCATCTTCCATGGGCCTCCGCTTCTGGCGTAAAGGGTACATGTTGATAATGAGTCAGAATATCGGTTGAGTGGCATGGTACGAGGCGTGTTCGTGAGCCAACTTGCAAAGAGTAATGGCTTTTGGGTGTCGGACGACAAATGTGACGAGCGGCGCGGGTGAGAGACACCACAAAGTAGCCTGGCCCGGGGTCCGAGGAAGCGATGGAATGAATTCAAAAATAATATTTGTACTTTATAATCACATACATCATTATGTCCAACCTGTTCTACTGCTACATGCGACTTAAGCAAGTTACGTCCTTCCATCACAACGTCGATAGTCCCAGCGTTTTGTGAGTACGCACTTGCCCTCGAAGACTCAGTTTCACTGACCTATGGGACGCCTCATTGCTGGTTTTCTGCCAGAGGAAGTATTGATGGTGAATGGTGACTTGAAGCGAGCGAGGGAGGACCAAGATCCTGATGATGGTCAGCACGAAATTCCACACACGCGTTGTACGCTCACAGTTCTCACATCATTGTTAGAGCAGATACCAACTCACCGGACGAAAATTCCCAAGCAGATTGATCAACCTTCATCTTCCGTTGGAATTAGCAGCGCTGTTGAAAAAGATACCGAACTTGCAGATCCTTGTTCAAAAGCTTTATGTCCAGCACTGCCCGACGCCCACGGAGATACCATCAACTCTTTACTTGACCTAACTTCGTTATGCTCTCAGGATGACATATCAGCTCGGTTTGACTCGATTTCAAGCGCTCTATTATCCCAATATTATCTTTCAGTCATTCATGGCAGCTCTCAAACGGACTATGAAATCCTTGAACTAGAATTTTACCTCCAGAAGTCAGGCTATCACGAGGACCCATTCACTCATGGAAGTACAGAGCAAGAGCGCAGCGGGCAGTGGTGAGAACTGACTCTCGAGTTTTCGTATAAGAAATAGTTCAAATTGGCTCTCACAGGTATTTTCATCGTGCACCGAAACGCTCAAACTCATCGCAAGCCAATCTTGTTGCAACTGTAGCAGGAGGTTATCGGGGCGGTACACGTAAGGGCCTTGATTTGACATTTGGTGGCCCAGTATGCACGCCAACGTCTTCTAGCGCGGAGTCTTGCACCACATTGGGAATATTGCGGGGTGGCGCTCTTCTACGCACCATACGTCGATTTCACGACCAAAAGGTCATCTCAGGGCCCTCACTCCTCGTCGATGAGATTCTGCGCGCATGCAATGCTTCGAACATCAGCGAGCTTGTGTCTGTTAAATGGCAAGGGGACATTGCTGCCCTTTCAGCCCCGAGCCAACCGAGGAGCGTTTACATGTACTTGCGCAAGCGACCTGCATCGAGCCTTGCGGCCTCGCCCGTGTTCCGTTCTCCACGCATTGGACTCGATCTTTCTAACCCGGAAACAAAAACCAGCCCCACACATCCACGAGTTGTCTTCGTCGGCAAACTGTATCGGTACTTCACTTATCCAGAGCTCCTCGTTGCGAACGGGCGCCCTCAAACGTTTGTAGGACTATACGTGGCCCTTGTCGAAGGAAAGAAGTATGAGCCTGGCTCGCTCAAGTTCCGCAACGAATTGAGTAAGCTGACGGGAATCAAGGACACAACTGTTGCCAAGTATTCGTCAGACTATCAGTTAGGATTCGAGAAGGGGAAGTTGGCGAACTTTGTCGGGGCTATTGGAAAAGGTGCCTCAGCGTCGGCGTCTGCATATCTTAAGATGATGGGAATGCTCGCAAAGGTGCTCTACGAGGCCCCGTGAAATGACCGTATGTATTCAAGTATGTGTAAGTTTCGCCTCGAGTCCTGCTCTAGTGCTACAGCTCAAAATTTTATTTCTCAGATGGTACGAATATGCTTTTGAATGGGCTCCGGTCACATTCAAAATAACATGCTCATCTGGGAAGAAATATCAGCATCGATAGTGAGGAATGTGACGACATCTACCTTCGGAAATAGCGTTCAAAACAATCCCGACAAGGCAAATGAAACGGCAGCTTTCTTTCCACAGACATGCTCGTGCATGTTATTGCTGGTTCCTGGCCACGCCGCCCAGCAGCATCCCAGTTTTTCCAGACTCGCTCTTTTCCTCTCCTCGCCTCGCATTTGGTGACCTGAGTCTTAACAGGCCCAGCCATGCGCTTGCATGGGCAAACATAGACGTATTGGGCCTCTATGATTTCGCACATGACAAGGATGGTGGCGTGTTTGGGTGAGCACTGAAGGGTTCTTTCACCTATGTTTGTGGTGGCGTGGTGATCGTATTGTACTTATACCTCAAACTAGCGTGCATGCCAAAAGACCCACTGGCCTACACTGGAGGTGTGCGTAGGAGTCACCGCAGAAATGTGCATTGACCGATGAACCGTCCACACTGGCACGGCGCATTGTGCTTATTCATCAGTGGCTCGCTGCTGGATTGTACTTGCAATGTAAACCATTCCCATCTCGATGAGACTAAAGGACAATGGCCATGGCCTCCTGGGCCTATGTCTCACATGCATTTCCAATTGAGTTTACAATGCGAATATTTGTAAAGTTTCGAACACAAATCATGTCATCGTCGCCCATAAATACACCTGTCCCCTTCTTCACGAGTGCTGCTATACGCGGTATCTGTGAAGCGGTCGTGAGTACGAGGTCGACCAGTCAAATTAAAACCTCTTTACATCAACAGTATGCACAACCAGACAAACAAACCGAAGGACCGGGCCCCTCCGTTCCATTTGCCTTAACCAGTCATATCATCGTCGCCCATTATATACCTGTCCCCTTCTTCACTAGTGCTGCTATACACGGTATCTGTGAAACGGTCATGAGTACGAGGGCGACCAGTCAAATTAAAATCTCCTTACATCAACAGTATGCACAGCCAGACAAACAAACCGAAGGACCAGGTCCCTCCATTCCATTTGCCTTGCACATCGCCTTCCACTCCTCGACATTCTCAACCGAGCCCTTTTGTTGAGCTCTGTCGACTTTCTTCTGCCATGAGCATACCTCATCGACGTATCTATCCCTTGAGAACACGGTCCTGCACTTGATACAGAAGGTGAGCGACCATGAGCTTCTACACATTTTACTTGCGAAGACGGAGTAAAACGATGGTGTGAGATGGAATGGAGAAGCTCGTCAAGAACGTTCGTCTTTTATACCCATATGTTATGGCAGCCTGCCTGGTGGACCATACTAATGGCGCTTTTCAGGCGCTTTGCCACAAGATGCCCACAGCGGATGTTTTGCCATGGCCTGCGGATGGCTTCGCTTTGTAAAGGAAAGCTTTGGCGCCTCCAACGTACTGAAAACAATCGATCACGCCAACAACTGACGTTGCTCGGACACAAGCAGTAATGATGTTCCGGAGGCTTGAAGCCTAGCTTCTATTGGGTAGTCAATAAATATGTGTAGCTGCGTGAGATAGCCGAGTTCGCCACCCAGAGGTTACCGCAACAGCAGCCTCCTCATCCTTGCCTTCATGATCTCGGATCATTGCACCTTCTCCAGGTTTCCAAACAGCATCAGTTTGTAAGTCTACCTCAAGCAACGGCACGAAATGTTGCCGGATTCCAAGTCCATATCGCTCGTAGATGGCGTAGCCGAGGTATAGGACAACGTAAAGGGCAACACCGATGTATGTGGCGATGACGTTCTGGCGTGAATGCGGTGAGATGAAGGCCATCTCAACAAAGGGTGGCGCATACCTCGGCTTGCAATGGCTGTTCTTTGACCGCCGAATATCCTTCCGCAATGAACATCAGTAAGGCTAGCACTACGACTCCAGCAGGCAACAACGGGAATAAAGGCTGGGTATAAGGCAAATCCAACAACGAGCGCCCCTGAGCTCGATATGCTGCACGAAAACGCAGAGAAATGAGACCTATTGAGCACCACACAAGCAAGGCTGATATTCCTGTGAGATTGAGCAGCCAAGTGAACACGACCCCCTCCCCCCAGATTGTCGTAAGGAATGTTATGAATGATACTGCAAGCGCCATGCTACATCAAAAATATTGTCAGCGTTGCGTTCTACGGCCATAAAGCGGTGGTCCAGACTCACACGAGCGCAGGCACAGGAACGCCTCGGCCATCTACCCAGCCAAAGATGCGAGGGGCCTGACCAGATCTGGCCAATGAGAGAAGCATGCGTGAACTTGCGTAGAAACACGAATTTGTGGCGGATAAAACCGCGGTCAAGAGGACAGCATTCACGACGTGTTCAGCAGCACCAAACCCAGCACGCTGGAACACCACAGTCAGTGGAGAGGCTGTCACATCCGACTCTGATAGCAAATCGAAGATATGAGCGGTGGATTCCGCTCCAGATTCATCACTCACCGTCTGCTGCACGGAGTAAGGTAGGGTCTTGCCAGTTGATGCAAAGTCCGATGGTCAGGATGGTCAAGATGTAGAAAAGGACTATCCGGAGGAAAGTAGCCTTGATAGCCCGAGGGACGGTTTTATGAGGTCGAACGGACTCTCCCGCGGCAACTGCCACCAGTTCAACACCACCGAAAGAGTAAAAGGCATAAACGAAAGTCTGAGCGAAATTTTGGAAGCCACCGATGAAAGCTTGGCCGTTCTGAAAATTCGACAAACCCTTCCAGAGGATATAAGTAGCCATACTGCTGACGAACGCCGTGCATTGCTTACGGGTCCAGGATGTCCTTTTATTCCACCCCAGTCGTAGATGAGCCCGACAAAGATGAAAACTATGATCATAAGGACCTTGACGAGAGCGAACCAGTACTCAGACTCTCCTGTTGAAGTTCAGTGTTCGGACAGCTAGCACACATGCTCAACAACTACGCGCCGTAAGCTCGAACATGGATCAGTTGAAGTGAGAAAACAGGGACAATAATGACGAGGGCCCATTCCCAGGCTTGGACTTGCGGCGCCCAAAACTGATTAAACGTCTTATCAGCAATTTCCGAGAAATAGTAAATCATGAACCAACTTACCTGTAGGATGATCGCAGCCGCAGTCAGCTCGCTGGCTGACAACCATGACAAACGAGTACGTCAATCACCTATTCAAAACAACGAAATAGGACAGAAGTGATACTCACGTATTGAAAGACTCCTGAACAAAAATGGATGCATAACGTCAGAATGATCAATGGACCTGCAATTTATCTTGGAAGCAGAAGTACCACTGAAACCAGTAATTCCACCCTGTTCGCAGAAATCCTCTAGTCAGCACGAGGAGACATCAAGGTGGAAGTACAGTACCCAACGTAAATCCTAGCGCGGGAGAGACGAATCTACTTCCAAAGACGGAGAAAGCGCCTGATACGGGGAACATGGCAGACATTTCGCCCCTTCAATTTGTTTCATTCAGTTCGAACATAATGATGTGATGTTGAAAACATACAAAGCGATCACGACGCTGTACACAAACATCCCAACAACAACATACGAGAGCAGAGCACTTCCTGGCCCGGCCAAAGCGATAGCCTTGGCAAAAGAGTCAAAGTAGCAACAAAAGGACGCGCTCACATGAGAACAAAGCACTCACAGATCCAGCGCTCAAGAAAATACCCGTCCCAATGGTCCCTCCGATTGCTACGTAGATTCCAGAAAGGCTTTCAGTACATGAAATTATTGACCATCGCTTCAAATGAACACTCACCGATCATCATCAGGTGCCTGCTTTGCATTACCCTCTTTGTTTCATTCTCAGCAGGCGCGTTGCTGGACCCAACAACAAATCTCTTCCAAACACTGCTAGGCAAGGCCTTAGATGCAACTTCGTCATCCACTGGAGCCTCCTCTGGAAGTTCTGCATCTTTTTCAATGTTGCTCATCGCGAAACGTCTCAGAGCCGTTGACTTGATTCTAATAAGTACTAGTCGACGAATTTCAGGCCAATGGAGTGGAACTACCTGGATTGATATAAGAGTCTTGTGCCGTCTTGGTGGTCTTGCGTGTCGAGTGGTGAAATTGAACAGATTCCAGGATTTCAAGTAGCACTCCAGAATCAGACTAGTGTCGCATATATAAAGCGCTCAAGGATAGAGCAGTGTAGGCGCTACCGAACAGCCCCGCGGCGTACGGGACGGCGTCCGATATCTGTTTCATTAAGCGATCAGCTGTAGTGATTCATTGGGATTTCTGTCAAACTCCCAACTACGCTCATCACAGATAGCTACTCGACATATGTCACTGCATCAGCCGAGCACTCTGCTACCGCTCCTTTCTATTTTCGCATCTACCCGATATCTACCACGTCTCGTCACTTGACCTAAATACAGTTGATAGTCGTAGTGTGTTTTGAACCTCAAATTTAGACTTTGCAAACCATTCTTCTCTATTGCGCCGTCGCCTTCGAACCACGTCAGGTTAGTATCCTGAGGGCACAGAAAACACAGCTTCAGATACCAATTGCAACGCATATTAAAATCACCTTTTAATTATATATTCATTTACAAGTTTGCACGCTTGGCTTGGCCTTGGAACATAAGCCGTTGATGCAGCATAAGGAATCTTCAAGGATTAATTATGATGTTGCTCGATGTTGGATACGGGAGTGGAGCGACCATTAACGTGCACCTCTCCGAGGCAGTCGGTTCTAAGTAGACGATATAGTGACAGAATGCGCTGGAATGGTAGTTTAAAGACCACTTTCCCAATATTCGGCCAGGACTTCGGGCACCAAACCTGGACAATGAAGTTAACTCAAGTTGCCAAAGTATGATATATTCATCACATACTCCTGATGTAAAGTGGCGAATGACTGGTGTTCCCATTCCACAAACAAAGTCAGATAGGACATCACTCCACACTAGTATCAGATGCCAAAACTAGAGACACAAAGTGGGTATTGAGCTACATACATGGGGCCAGCCGAATACCATAGTAATACGATTGCATAGCATCGTGAAAACCAAGAGTGTATCCACACTACTACAACGAAAGCAGGTTCGACGAGGGTTTCGCAGGGTAGCCAGCCCACGTTGAGGAATATTAGTCGATTATAAGAGCTCTATTGACTAATGTAGGAATAGGAGAAGAATGGGGAGAAATTATGAGGCGTGTACGCTCGTGGTGGGTCGTAGTGATGGTAGATGAATCGCCGGAGAGCTCACTGAGCTCGTGGGACGAATGTCAGTTTGCATTCCATCGAAGCAGGAAAGATAACCTGCAAAAAAAGGCACTTGAGTCAAGTCCTCGGACAGTGATCACAAAGATAGTCAATTACAAAGGAGTCCTTGATTTCCATACTTCGCTCGTTGGTCTCAGGAGGAGCCACAACATCAAAGTTCCTCGCCACAGTAGCCACCGCGATCCTCAACATCATCTGCGCCAAATTCTGGCCTCCGCAGACACGCGAGCCTGTACCGAATGGCATGAGGAATTGTGCCATCTTGAAAAGATGTTCAGCGTTCCCAGGTCTTTCGAGCCAGCGCTCAGGAAGGAAGGTCTTCGGAGAAGGGAAGATAGATGCATCGCGGTGCATAGACCAGCCTTGGGTGGCAACGATGGTACCAGGAGGAAGTGCATAACCCATAAGATCAAAAGCTTCATTAATGGCGCCATTTTTGGATGTAGAAGATGGAACGACGCGTTCGAGAATACTTGGTACGGCGCTGTACAACCGAAGACCTATGACATGTGTAATGAGGAAGATGTAAATTAAAGCGAAGCGCAGCCTGACCTTCTTTCACGAAAGCGTTCAGGTAAGGAAGCTTCTGCAAGAGAGTGATATCAGGAATAGCATGCGGATCAGGCATCGCTTGGTCCAGTTCGGCCTGAAGCTTCATCATGATATCTTGCCTGCGGCTAAGCTCCCAAAAGAAGTAGGACAACGAGTTTGATGTAGTATCAGACCCTGCGATCCTAGGGGTATCAATTTAGCTCGCGCTATAGACAGTCAAATGAGAGATAGATGCATACATATGTCCCATCATTTCTGAAATGATATCGTGGTCGGGCATGGCCTGTTCAGAGGAATACTTATGCTGGAGAAGGCGTCGTAACATCGGAATCTTCTCAGATTCACCAAGTTTTCCTGCATTTAACTCTGCTCGCATCTCGTATACGCGTGCACCAACGAACTTGAGAAGAGACGAGAATCAGCTTCATTGACCGCATTGAAGGTACGGAGAGGGAACAACCTCGCCCATAATCTTATCAGAATCGCACATCTGGCGCCACCGGTTGTTGGGGATACGGCAGATCATATCCCACACCCAAGGGGGTACCACGCTTCTCTGCAACCCCTGTCAGTCTAATTTTGATGCAAGGTCGATCGCCTTACGATAATGCCTCGCTTTGGGAAATCCGCGATCGCAGTGGCCATAGAATCCTCCACACCCGCAATCCATTTACTGAGAGCACCCTGTCGGTAGCCATGGGAAGACGCAATAATAACGTCAACCATATAATGGCGGAACAATGCAAGACAATCCAAAGAATGTTTGCCTCCGATATGTTCTAGAACCTGGGATAGGCGCATTAAAAGGGAAACGTCATGCTCATTTCCAGGGGCATACCGAAATAAGCTCGAGGGTATAATCATGCGCCTCGGGCTGAAAAAGAGCGAGATTGACCGGGGCATAGTGAGGAGCATAGCCCTTTCGTCTTGTGACATGTCCCGCATGGTCCAATGTTGTCATACTAGTCAGAAAATCAGCATATATGCGCATTCAGCGGATTGCAATGTATACTCACGCATGATCATTCTCATTGCTAAATGGACTCGTGAGCTAAAATCGTGTCAAATACAAGACAAACGCACGTTAAAAGACTCTTATAGAAGGTGCTTTTGTCGAATTTGTAGACGGAGTAGACGCTTCTCATGGATGTCAGATCTTTGAAGATGACCTTGTTTGGACCGATTCGAACGACAGGGCCATATTTCTCGAAAAGGCGGTGATTGGTCTTGCATTGTTGGAGGCGCAAGACGTGTGTTGTAATCCAAAAGTTAGAGACGGCGGCAAACCAAGGACCAGGTATCGAGCTGAGCGGGGAAAGAAAGAGGTCGTATATAGCGCGAGAGACAAGGTAAACCAGAGAAAGAGAAAGAGCGGCGAGAGCGATGTTGTGGGTTATCCAAGAAACTGAGATGGGAAACGCAGCGGTAGCGGTGAAGTCCATGGTGGGTGTAGCAAATGGGAAATCCAACAAAGACAACAAAAAAGAGGCCTGCGTCGTCGGCGGACACAAGTGATAGAGGGGGAACGAAAAGAGAGGACGCCTATGAGGAATTCAGAGTGTAGCTGGTATATATACCATCCATAAAGTGTGACTAAAACATATCCAAATCGCGGTCACACTTGGTCAATGGAATGTCGCCGTGGCGGTTGGACGTCAATTCCTCCATCCCAAAATGGACTCGCAGGTAATCTACTTCCGGGATACCATATTCCTCTTCTGGCCCCCTCGCCTCCGTGACACTCGCTTTGGCTACGAGACGGAATTTTCATTAGTAACAGTCGCTCTGGGAACAAATTGAAGATGATAATACGTGCCAGTACATACATCCAAGACCAACGATACGGAAGACCTCATAACTCGACAAGAAACGAGGACTGTGGAAGGACCTGACGATCACAGTAAATGGCAACTTCTCTAGCAAGTGATGGAATCCCCTTGAAGAGTAGGCTGCTATGCATTGCATCATGTTCCGGGCTATTGGCATAGCAGGCGCCACTACAATGATTTGAACAGATCAAATGATCAGGTTGGCAGAACAGAAAGCTAGTATCCGTCATCAACAGGATGACATCACGTATCAAAGGCAACAGTAGAACGCAGACGACACCGTATCGGACCAGTAAACCAGACCACGCCGTTAAACGTCAGCGATTCGTTTGCCATGAGGACTGATTCCGAGGACAACTGGTTTTAATTCTGGGATTCATCTAAGTCAATCTATCCATCCGGGGAAATTTGCATCGTCCTTAGTACAGGAAGCATCGCTTGTGCCATATAACGAGAGGTTGGAAGAGAAAGCAGCACGAGGACGAGCGGGGTGAGGCCGATGCGCAACACTCAGTACCCTCTATCGACAGCTCGCGGAGTTTTTAAACAACACGTGGTTGCCTTTTCCGTCTGGAGCTTGGCGAAGGCCGCAACCCCGGATCATATTCGCTCAAGAGAGTACAAGCAGTTCAACTTATAATGACAACTGAGGACAGGAGGCCTTTCAGTGGATTGGAGGATCACAAATTCGTCTGCATGAATGTAAGGTTCTACCTATTCTTGCCTAACAATGACAGCTCGGCTTCGCGCTCCTGTCAGCATCGACACCGCAGGTCTAGTTAGTAGCCGCACGTTTGAAATTCTGGCTAGTGGTCATCGTATCTGACGCCTGTGACGTGGATCCGCCATCGCTGAATCAAAAATGATCAGTAGGGCCCGACACCGCCGTATCCCCCAAACCAGCAAAAGCAAACGTCATGCCAATGATCGCGTCCATTTCGTTAACAGCCAACAGTAACCAAAAGCATTCATTGTCAATAAATCAGTCCTGACAATGAAAACTCAGACTATGTCCGCCTGCACAAATTGATTTCACATCATGAGCATGACACAATAGCCGAATCACCTCGAAAGCGCTAAGCTGTCCGAATGCGTAGCCTATACCATGACACCGCTCTAGGATGCAGCAGTTGTGAGCGTGTCTCCATCCCAGCAGTACCTGTCCATGCAGGTAGAGCAAATGCCACTTCTTGCCACTCCTGCTCGCTCCCTTGCACGGTCGACGACAGCGCATGCGAGACATGACGGCCAATCCGGATCCTTCATTGCTCCATTTTCTGGATACCCCTGGGTCGTGATGACAAAGGTCTGGCTAAGCATTGCCTGAATCTCCGATGACGAATAGGAAGTTTGAGACGTCGAGGTGTTGGTGACGGGAGCTTCGCCGTCGGGTGGACCACCATTAGCAAGGTATATGAGAAGCGGGGTGCTTGTGTTCAAACTGGTCGTGTTGCATCCAAAAAACGTCGGGCGCGTAGTCAGGTTTTGTGCGGTATATTCTCCCATAGAGGTGGGAACAGGGGGGAATGAGTAAGCAGAGGGATAAAGTGAAGTGCGATTTTGTGTGGCCTAACAAGGATTCAGATGCGAAAGTTATTCGATAATCTCATATGCTCACAATCAAAGAGCTGCCATCCGCGAAGTCGTTAATATCATCGGTCTGAATTGAAGATCAATTGAAGATCGCCATGTTTTTAAGAAGACTACTTACTGCATCAATAGCGAAAATGACATCGATACCACGTGCCTTCACCAGGAGGGGTTGCAGCGGGATAACTTCACCATCTTCACCACCGTCCACCATATTCAGGTTCGTTTGCGTCGAATCAATAAAGGTGTCCGGTGCAACACCATAGAATGGATTTGGCCAAGAAGCAACGTCGTATTCAACCTGGGGTTCGGGCATAAGATCCGCCATAAGAGCTAAAATGGGCCCAAACTCTGAATTGAGGGTATCCTGCCAGCTAGTTCAGACGTGCATGAACGATAAGAGAACACAACGGAACTCACAGTGAAATTGGCCTCATTAAATAGCTCAGAAGATGACCCAGCAATAAACGCAGATTGATCATAGTTGGTGACACAGATACTGTTATTTGTCGTTCCTAAATATTTGGTTGGCACGAATGCAGAAAGCTGCGGGTCAAAAGAACCCGTTTCAACTATTCAGATACGTTCAGGGCCCAGGAACACAAAACTGTGACTTTTTACTCACAGACATTGAACTCAATTATGGGATTAGTTAAGGGGATGTAGTCTTCAGCAATTATCTCCGATGAGTTCTGACCCGGAGCTTGAAGGTCTGCGGTCACAATTGGGAATGGTATTGAATAGGATGCGAATGAAGTCCTTGAACCAAGATCAGCCAACGAACTCGCCAGAATGGGAGCGAACTCACGTATTTGCAACAGCAGACCACAATATACCAGCTCCATGGGTGTACGACTCGTTAAAGATATTAGACGAGAAAGTACCATTGGCAAAATGTCTGGCTAGCATACGCCCCCAGTAGTCCGCAAATGTCACTACATAACCAGCGTCGTACTTTCCGAGCAACTCATCTGCAAGGTTCGTATAATATTGTGTATCTGTGACGGAGTTCGTGCTTGGCGTCATAATATCATAGTCAGCGTTCCATCCTCCCCACGAACTGTTGGACATTGTGGGACTAGCAGGTCCAAAGATGAGTTCTTGCATGGTAGGGAAATTGGCTTGAGCAAGGGATGTGATGAACCACGATGAGCCTGACAATCCTGACAGATAGGTTGCTGCCTGGAGCAACCCGCCTGTTCCAGCGGCGTCGGAAGATGAATTCCGCGCATCCAGTGCATTCAACACTCCTGCACCAAAGATTGCAGCCCTGTACCCTCCTCCACTCGTTGCAATACCTAGAGTTGGGATCTCGGAACTAGCGCCCGACAGAATTCTTGAGACGTAATCAGGGAGAAAAGGATTGGTAGATAAGACATTTGATAGGTAAGTTTTCCAGGCCCGCGGAAGGACATTGGCCTTGCGATTTTGAACGTAGCAGGCTTCAGACGAACTGAGGGTCTGATTCCCAGGAGTACCAGCCATCCGCACCAGGTTGAAGCCTGCAGGACATCGCGCAGCAATAGGTGTGTACGCCTGAGATGCCACGGTCTGAGCCATGGCGAATGTGTTTAGCCATGATAAAAGGGCAAGCAAGATAGCAAAGCGATTTCGCAGCATGGTTGGATACGCGACTAGGGAATGCGGGTTTTCGTCGTTTGAGCCAGATTCGATACTTTGAGTAAAGAGTTGCATACGACGCCCTTTAAATTATCAGGACGCAGAATACACGTTTCGGTGAACCTCCGGGCTATTGCTGCGTATTACGTGTGAGGCTAGCAGCTCCAAATTAAAGACTCGGAGCGTCTTGAGCTCGTGAGGCCCCCTGTAGTTCAGAGCCCGAACCAATGGCGAACCAGCACGTTCTCACCAGTTCGCCTTCGCCGTACTCAACGCTACCAATGTTCTGAAGGGGCACTTGTGCGATGTTGAATGGTTTGACCAAAGCCCTGGGTAGTCGATCTCTGAGACTTGCTGCGAACCTCCCTAAAATGAGAGAAACACGGCCCTCTATGTGATTGGCGCACGCCGCTTCGCTCAGCAGATCAGTAACTGGTGCATAATCACGAGCTTCTGCACAAAAATATAACTTACCTGAGAGGCAGCTAAAACTAGTACTCAACGTTCGAACCTTGTTTACTAGAAATAAATGCGTATTACATCCGCTTCACAACAGGAAAAGTAATTGGATATGGCACCGAACACGTTCGTTTTACTTCGACGAGCGCCTGTTTGCCATGCATCCAATAAGTGAAAAAGTTGGTCAAGAAATAAAACAGTGGTGGGAAGAAAGCGAGGCCTCCCACGTGAATGCATGAGTGTTTATTTAACACGGTAGTTAAACGCGTGATGATGATCACGTATGTAGCATGGTTGAAGCAGTATGCATATGTGAGCTCCGGATTCAAGAGCTTAGCTTGTCGGAGTATCAAAAGGCTGAATTTGATTTGAGGGTGAGGTAATAACAATCCACCCGTGCCCCTCAAGGCCTAGGCCTCACTGCTCAGCATGATACAGAAACATGGTTACAACGATGCCAAGACTGTCGGGCATCCGCATCAGGCTTTCCGCACAGTTGTTTGTTGGAAAATACTCATGTACGTACTATGTGACTTGTGTCAATTAGAAGCTTCCATGCGTGAACTAAAGTACGACAATACCTAGGGATAGCTTTGACAGGTTTACATGCGTCGTGTTGATTGAATGCGAGTGATAGAGAAGGCTAGGAGCTTACTCATCTCGGCAATCCCGCCAGTGTTATTCATGTGCCATACGGATCAGATCAAGCTCGACACGTTCTCTGTCGAGAGGAAGGGCTCATTCATCCGGAATCTTCATAGCAACAGAGTTGATGATTATCCTGAGGGGTCTGTTGTAATTTGTGAGTGTCCTGGAAATTACATGCAGGCTCGAGATTCGCTAGTGCATCTTGGGCTGTGGATACAACAGATGTCACAGGGTGGATTCATACGCTCTGTAGCCTATCTGGCAGCAACATGTGCCGATTCGGGATCAGCACAATTTTCGACGCCTGACCCACCCAGTTATCTGGAGCTCATGCACATGAGTCACCTTCATGGTCGGCGTTCGGGAGAAGAGGGTCACGCCTTCGAGCGCTTTTGGACGATCTCAGCCTTATCCCAGGACACTAATTACGCATCTTCATCGACTCACCAAAGTATTCACAGTCACACTATTCTCAACCTTCCCCAGAATCCGAAGAATTCTATCATGGGGTCGGCCCTGGATAAAGCAGCGCCAGAATTTTAAGTGATCCTCATGAACAACTTACCGAGCTTCCACCAGCGATTGCCTCGCTAGATTTGCTGGCTTCTGTAAAATAAACTGGTTTCGAATCCCTCGAATGGTTGTCTTCGCTCATTGAAAATAGCTGTCACTGGTGGATAAGTTTGAGCGAAGCAGGATACGAGAAGTAGTTGAGAACAGTGAGTTCTGCGTCGTTTGAATAACCGCCCACACCCAGCGCAAAGGCAGCGCCGATGTGCTATTTCAGGCGCCAAAAAACATTTGGTGGCCCACATTAACTCGGAGGAGGCACTTTGTTGATCGAAGAGCGCATCAGGGACCCCGATCAAGCATATCACCACGATCTTAGTCCTCGTGAACAAGGCTCAGCAAGCAGACGTCTCGTCATTGTATAATGATGATGTTGCAGTATCTCGGAAGAGCAGCAGAACCCAAAGCAGGGCCACCAGGAATACAGGGAGTTGTACTTGCAGAGCAGGTCGGTGAAGCGAGCTTTATAGAGACCACAAAAGATGACCTAAACACAACAAAAGAGTAGACAAGAAGTCATCGGAACAACGACAAACCCAACGCGATTAACCAGATCAAATTTTGCGTGGCGACAGAAAGCAAGGGGCTCCATGGTTGGCCTTAAGCTTCATCACAGGCTGCAACCTGAATGACGAATATGACGAATTAGGGTGATATTCGAAAAGTGTCCGATATTATAATGCAGAAGACAATCAAGCACAATTTGAAGTTTGAACCGAATCAACGTACACTTTGTTCATGTACATCACGATGGCATCGTTATCATCCGCTGCAGATCAATCGACGCATGTATCAAAGTGTCTCAAGTCTAAATATTGTAAATCGTGATATGCTGCATCATGAGTTAAAGTTCCGAGTCTGTTTACGTCTAATTTTGTCGGTAAGCTGCGTCGGACTTGTAAATTTAATGTCTCAAGGTCGTTACTCACGACGACGAAAGCTATAAGCTCATCGTCTACAATCACTTCCTTTGCAAATAAAAATCATGCGTCAGTCTGTTGCTCCGAATCGCATTTCACATGCTGCATCCCTAGCATCGCAAGCCAATAATGCAACAGCAACATCACGCCTACTGGAGAAAAAGAAAGAGTTTGAGGCCGTTGCTGCCCTTGAACGCGCTAGTGCTCTGTTCCTTAAACGCATCGAGGGTCTTGCAGATGATTGCGAAGTTATGGCTGATGCTGGCCAAGGTTTCTTCTTCTCATCCTGATCCTTTTCCATCATTAATTTTCTCGAACAGTACATGGTCAGGTGCTCGAACAATGGCCTCTCATGTTCCAGAGTTTGAGTTTGTTCTGTGAGTAAAGTTACGAACACACTAGCTTGTGATCTGATTGTTCTGCAGTGAACAGCCGGGAACAGCACTTGTCAGACCCCGGTGACGCCACCGTACCACTTACCGGAGAACGGCTTGTTCGTGTTCCGCTTGACGAGCTCCAAGCTGATGCATCGAAGTAAACCTAACTGCGTATTACTGCGTCTACTTCGATATACACATCCTTGATGCAATGTCGCATCTCTACTCTGCCCTTTCCCAGAATCATCGGGCCCCGCCCATCTACATCTGCGATGACCACAATGCAGTCGATAACGACCCTCCATTCTGCCAATGGATTCTGCTCTTCATTTGCAGTACAGATGAAACCTTTACGCCACGAGGGCACGTGTCAGCAAGGGTGGGTACAATATGGCGGTTTCAAGCATGGTAACAGCGTATTAGACTTTCATGGGCACCTTGAACCTGTGAAGCGGACGTCACACTTGCAGAACAGACATCATATACGTTGTTTCCTGTACTAGTACTCGTAGCATTACCATCGATTCAAAGTATGCAGCGTTTGGACTTCCACGGAGGAATAATCGTGTATCATACGTGTCAAAATGAATGTTTGCACCGGTGGCAGTACTTACTGCTGTCTGCGTTGCAGCAGACTCGTTCTTTCCGTGATCACTTCCACTCGACTATTCCGTATAACTTGAGGGTTTTATGGACTATCTTCGCAGCTTTGGCTCTGCTGCAGTGTCGACTCTAGTCCAGAAATCAGGGCTAAATCTACCGTTCTCACTAGGTGCCAAAGTTTACTCCTGCGAGACATTCTGGACCTTGTACGACGCTACCAAACGGGTAGGTTTGCAATTCTCATCACAGGTCCGAGTTGTGTCCAGGCTAATCTACAAGGCAGGAAGATGGTAGTCTGGTCTCGGTTTTCGAGTATGATCTAACCCACCCTCTGAACAAGTCCACCATACCCCTCGCCCGCAACTCTCTCCGCAAGCTACGCACCATACGACATCCAGACGTACTTAGATACATCGATGTCGTAGAATCCGACTCGGCCATTTGCATCATGACTGAAAGGGTTCGCCCTCTACCTCTCGCGCTATCCCAATCATCCTCCAATGTTCCACGCGAGCGAGAAGACTGGCTGATTTGGGGGTTACACCGAATTTCAGTCAGAAGTGTTCTTCTCATCTGCATTCAGGCCTTAATTACTGACCTTCTGAGCCAGGTTGCTCTTGCTTTTCTCAACGATTCCGCTTCCTCGACCCATGGAAACGTTCGTCCAAATGCTATATTCATCACTCCTTCAGGAGAGTGGAAGTTGGGAGGCTTCGAGGTGTTGAGCAATCCAAAAGACGATCTTTCTGTCATATATGTGAGTGTTTTTCCTAAGTGTCTCGTGCGTCTCCCCATAAAATTCCTTTACAGACCATGGGCGGCCTCATGCCAGACGCAATGGCATGCGCGCCCCCGGAAGTCAAGAAAGAGGGTTGGTCTGCCCTCAAAGAGTGAGTTTTCAGTTTCCGACAACTCACAACATCATGCAGCCACCTTTCTAATGAATGGACAGCGTACCAGTATCAGCTGCGGACGGATACGCTCTCGGTCTACTTCTGCACGCAGTCTTCAATCCCACTCACCCTCCACCACCAACTGCTCAGCCTCCTCATCCACCACCTCAAGTTTCTTCCAGGGGTGCCATACCCCTGTCCGTCTTTCCCTCCTTCAAAAAACTCCTTAACCCGAATGCAAAATCACGGATGTCACCCAAAAACCTACTAGACATTGGTATGGCAGAGTCGGGTGGAGAAGGGCATGGATTTTTCGTACATAACCGGCTTGTCAAGGTCTGCGCTGGACTGGACGGATTCACCCTGAGTAGTGAATCTGATAAGGCATCCTTACTACGGTACGTGCTGCCTTTCAAACGCCCATCAACTACCCAGTGACTTGGACTAGCACGCTAAAGGAATCCGCATCTTCATTTCCCCCCGAATTCGTCTCTTATCGTATTCTCCCATGCCTCGCCTCTGCGCTCGAGTTCGGCGGTGCCTCTGCAGCAACCATTGTACCTCTCGTCCTCCAATTCGGAAAGAACGTCGCACCCGACGACTATGGCTCGGTCGTTGTGGCCCCCCTCGTCAAACTTTTTGCGAGTGCGGACCGTGGCACACGCATTGCGCTTCTCGATAGTCTCCCCGAGTTCGTCGAGAAACTAGATAAGAAAACAGTTGTTGATAAAATTTGGCCAAACCTGGTACGAATAATGTTCATGTTTCATCTATTCTCACACGGCAATTCATTTCATCTTCATCTGCGCAGCAAACTGGATTCACTGACACTGTTGCCATCATTCGAGAAGCTACTGTCCGCGCTATCGTTCTACTTTCCCCCAAGGTATGTTGACTTTAAGGTGTGACCAATGTCGCTAATAATGATTTCTCAAGTTATCCGACCGTATACTCAACAACGACCTCCTCCGCCATCTCGCCCGCCTCCAATCGGACCCAGAAGCTTCCATCCGGACCAATACATGCATTCTTATCGGCCGGCTGGGCCCTTCGCTAGGATATAATACCAAGCGAAAAGTTCTCGTTCCTGCATTTAGCATGGCGCTGAGGGATTCGTTTGTCCACGCTCGCGTGGCAGGCGTTATGGCATTTATGGCAACAGCGGAGTGCTTCGAGATTGAGGACGTGGCCAGTAAAGTCGTTCCAGCTATCCTAGGTGCTACGCTGGATAAAGAAAAGTGAGTCTACAACTCTCGTTCTACTACGCTGATGCATGTTGATGGCTGAATATGTACAGACTGGTTCGTGATCAGGCATTCAAAGCTGTCGAGCTTTTTGTCAAGCGTTTAGAAGCTCACGCTTCGACTATGGTACGTCTGTAGTATACAACCCAGTTTGTATTGCTTATACCCCTTTTTCACAGCCAGAGACAGCATCCACAGAAGACGGCGGAGATGATCTAGCCACGAGGCTTCCAGGTGCATACACACAGGCTGGCCTTGTAAACTCAGCGACAGGCGCTGCAGCCGCTCTCACAGGGTGGGCTGTATCGTCCCTTGGCAAAAAGGCACGTTTGATTTGTTTTTCTTGATATTGATGGCTTACAAAGATCTATCGCTCAGCTTGCCCCTGCTGACATGCAAACCACGATCTCAAGTACCATCGAAGGATCAACACTAACACCAACCATCAATGGTAGCGCCAGTCCTTTGCCTGTGACACCTGTTTCTCCCTCCGCAAATCCAGTAAGAAGCAAAGGTCTACAACTGGGCGGGAATAAAGCCCCCATTTCTACGCTCGCTGACGAGGTTGCCAACGAGGCAGGGCAGGGCAGTAGTCGTTTGTGGAACGACGATTTGATCGATATCAATGCCGATGAAGGAGATTGGAGTGCGTCCTTTGACCTTTCAAGATATCACTGGATCCAAACTGAGGTCATTTTTCTTTGTAGGCGCGTTCGAGAGTGCTCCACCTGCTGTAGAATCAAAACTAGCAAGTACAACCGATGGTCTAGGATTTGGTATATCGCTGCGGCCCAGTTCTCCAAGTATGTATTACTTCCTTCTCCATAATGTCCCTGCTAATTTATTTGACACAGTTCCAGACGAATGGGGCGCAATGGCATCATCGTCTCGACCTACAAGTCGCTCGTCTACATCACGTCCCTCCCAGATCTCACGCACGCTCTCACCACAACCCCGCAGATCCATCGTGTCTTCCCCTCTCGCGCCAGCGTTCTCACCCGCTTCAAGCACTCGATCAACACCCATATCATCCCCTCGACCTCTCCCAAATACTGCCGACAACACACCGCCGACTAGTATGGCTGGGATGTCTAAGGAGGAGAAGGCGGCTGAGATGGCCAGGAGGAAGGAGGAGAGGCGGTTGGTGAGTGTTTTGTCACTGTGTTTGGAGATGTTGCGGCTTATACTGATTGACTTTTTGCAGCGAATTGAGAAGCTGAAGGAACAGAAAAAGAACGCTGCTGCTGCCGGAAAGGTTTGAATATGATAGCATTGTGAACACTCGTGCTTATGCGATGGTGCGCTGAGTGACTGGGAGTTTTATTGGACCAGACATGAACATCATTCTATGGTATGAACTACCTGCATCTTGGATACGGCATATGTCCGGCGAGTTCCTTCATCATGCGCATTGTCGCCGAGCTAGGATCCAGTATTTACTGCTAAGGGCGCATACGGTACACCACAGTATATCCTTCAGAACATTAAATATTCAATCAGTACTATCACTCTACTGCACATCCATAAGTTGTTTGATGATCTCTACGCCAAATCTACTACAGCGAGTACATTCCTTCCCGCTTGACCCCGCTTCCTGTAACAGATTCTACCCAAATAGCCGTCAAATGCCAATTTGACATTCCACGTCATTCTCAAAGACGAGGGAAACGACTCTGTCGCTTCAACCTCTTTAATATCGACCCCTGGCCCAACAATACCCGAACAGGGCTTATCCATACCGCTAGCGTCGATCGTAAATCCGTAGAATTCTGTTCCATCCTTTTCGTTATGAAGTACGCAGATACCACGTGCATGCCCGTCAAAAGACGTGGTAAACTTCATAGTGTTAGCATAGCCTGGAACAGAGAAAAGCTGTTCGGTGGAGAGATATATGTTCCCTAGCTTCTGCCCTGGCGGAGGAGGGGATAAAGTTACTCGGTGAGCAAAGTACTTCGTCAAATTAAGTCTCATGCAATGGGTGAGGAATTTAATTTGGGTTTGCCCTGTGACAGCGCTGGTCATAGAGTCGCATAAGAGCGAGACGCGTTCGATATCGAGATAGCAATGTCCTTCGTGAGTGAGTTCAAGAGTAGGTGGGGATGCGCTGGTAATTCCCGCCAATGGGAGAGCGAATGCCTGGATGATCGCACGGCAGTTACCTCCCTCGTCGAGCTGGCTGACCATAGTGAGAGGAGTAAACATTGCGAGAATGTGGGTTTCGGTAGCTATGAGACGCTTCAGGTATGTCTCCTGTGCGCAAGTGACGTCGAATTTGGGGTCCTATATTTCATGATGAGACGCGTGCGACGTCCAAGTACTTTATACGTACGATGATAGAGCTTGGTAGCGGAAAGCGGTACAGGACGCGGGTGCGAGTATCCACCGCCAAATTCAAAGTACCAGTCAAATGATCGCTCATGCACAGCAAGCGCTTCCCAGCAGATAGCTGCGACATTCCCATCCCGATCACATCGCCAGGAATCACCATGGAGAATTCCAACAAAGGACCGTCAGAAGAGAAACGAATGGAGAGCAGTTTACTATCACAACATCGTTCAGTTTATAAATGCAACAGTTAGGAGCAACTAACTGTGAGAACGACACGCTGCTGCGAGCGCCTTCCATGACGATGGCGTGCATGATGCATCCTCCGTCCGCTGCCTCAGAAGTCGTGCTTTTGAACGACAGTATCTGAGCGCCATCAGCGTGATATATGATGTGGCGCAGTCCGCGCTCTAAATCGTAGCACAGGATGTCGGGACCGCTAATGTGTGGGATGACAAGCCATAGGCCAGCCACCACTTCCCAATGGTCTCCTTGCAAGGCGGACCACTCGGGCTCAAACCAAGTCGCCTTGGAAGTTATCGTTAGAGCTTGCTTGTTCCACTTGACGCCGACTTGAGTGCTTTTGACAAGGGTATTTTCTAAGAACTCGCGAGACTGAGAGTCGAGCGGTCCGAGGGGACGAGGAAGTTTTGCATGTGTATATGCATCGTGCCATATGGCTGTGTGGAATGTCAAGTCGCGAAGGTCTTTGCACGCCTATATCAATCATTACAAACACATTCAGTATGAATCAATATGAAGGGATATGATCCGCAAACGATGAGCAGTAATTTCTCACCAGTCGAAGGCAGATGATGTCGCGGACGGAAAGAAAGGACAGGAGACGGTACAAAACATCGTGTGGAAGACTGGTCAGCGTCATGGTCGGTGGTCAAAGATACGTTATAAGCGCGCCAAGTCCACGGCATGATGCATCAGGCCAACAGATGGAAGCGAAGAAGTGCCTATTCGCTAGTAGTATTGGCTTTCGTCAATGTTTGCATTGCGTGTGAGCACCAAATTCGAAATTCAAGCTCAAGCGGCAAGCTGCGATCCGACTCGATGATGATCTGGAATAGTCTGCAACCAATTTGTCGATACAACTATAACAGTTCTTCAGCAACCCGCATAGACTCGTGACCAGTCTGACGTACGTCACATGAGAGTGGAGAATTTTCGCCACTCGACTTGTCCGTGGTTATATAAGCCAGGCTGGTCCCGAGCCTACAACCCGCATTCAAATATCCAAGAATGATCTTAGTTTGATTGTGCGGTCCATCAGTCTGACTCTCGCACGAGGTACGCAACTCCTTAGCTCTACGAACATGTCCTGAATTTGATCCCAAGGCAGCGCAAGCATCGGAACGTGGGATCTGATAATGCTGGGCATTAGTAGGCTCCTCGTTCCTGCGTTCTCGGGGGTGAGGCTACCCTCATTCCATCGTATCGTTCATCCCCTGGCCAGTTCAGTTGAATGACATCAACACGGCTGCTGGCTCCGTTTTCATGATCATGGACATCACGATGACGGATTAGGCACAAGATTTCATCCAGGGTAAGTATTCTTCTGAAGCAAACACTTTACTCCGAGGATCCAGTTTGGCACTCCAAGCCACATTAATGCAGTAGTAGCACGCCCATATCACGACAACTAGTACATAGCCGGAAGTCCTGTCGACCGCAAACAGATGCTCGTTTATTTAATCAGCATAGGCATAGGCCTAATATACATAGTGTCACCCTACGCTTATAATCAACATCAAAAGATCGCTAGTGGTAAACGATGAACTGAGTGCATAGTATACTGGCCCGTCAGTGCGGACTCAACATTCACCCTCGTGGACTGAACTGTCCATTCCAGTATCGCTATAAACACCCACCACAATACTCTTCTGAGCCTCAATCAGTGGTCAAACATACAACTCGAGCCCCAGACGATCATAAATGAGACATGGTAGCAGTACGAACCGAGTGTGATGCCTTCTGGTGTGATGTCTTGAATGTCGAAAGCTAGGTATGAATAAAAGCACGCAGCTTCAGAAGCAGGCACACGATACCAAAAACAATATCGCATAGCTGCTCAGAGCGTCAGCTAGGAGTCAGGTACGATGACCGAATCAAAACGACATTTGGTCTTGTGTTGAACAAGACCGACGAACGCGAGATTATTTGCTAGACTGAAAAACTGGAAGTTAGTTTTGGAGGTGGACTATTTCTGATGTCCGCTTGTTATGATGACCACTGAGATGGTGAAAAACCTACATGAAATAAGTCTCTGAGTCACAAAAGATAGATCATCGGATGTAAACTTGCGACATGACGGCACTGGTGTTGATGCTATATGATAGGAAGCAGATGACAATATGATCGGTTCTAAGGGCAACGAGGTGAACCTTCACATAGAGTTGGGCCAGCTGACATCCTACCTGTTCATGCCGGTGCGATGTTTTCGGAGATATATGGCTGAAAGCAACCATCCAACCCCCATGATTGGCTGGTGATGTAACGAAACCGAAGGACCTGCAGGTATGTGTTGAGGCCTGTGTATCAGGGTTAGGTACGGATTCACAGCATAGGCTATGATAGGCTGTTATCATGTCAATGTGGCAAACGTCAGGCAAATACGAAGTGACATACACTAATAACATAATATACATGAAGCCTGGTCGACTGGAGAGAAACCAGCAGTAAATTGTGTGTGGTACTGGCAGCATCTCTTGTGATGAAGAGTGAACGAACAAGAACAGATGTCACGCGTACGCCAAGCATGATGCAACATATACAATTTCCCAGTGAAAAGTCCTTCGAGTGTGGCAAATTGTACCCAATTATAATTGACATGTGCCAAGTTGGCCCTTAACAGGTATTACATAGTATCGTAAGGCTTAAAACTTTTTTTCAACAATTACTGTGACATATTATCTCAGAGCATGTGACTTATGTAACGCTACTCCGTGTTAGACATGATCGTGGTTGGCATGTTATTTGATGTTATCTATCAGTTGCATCCACAGTTCAGTTGAATCGACTCAGCTCTGACGCTGTTGAATGTTCTTGACTTCAAGAACTGGTTCATGAGTCGATCACCCTACTACAAATCTTTAAGACGACGTTGCTTCGACTTCCTTGCGGTTTCCGGAGTTCTCTGGCGCACACCTAATACTTGGCGCCTGAAGTCAATACAGCAGTAAATATTACCTCGAGGCTTGTAGTCAAGGGTCCTGCATTTAAATGAGATGGAGCCCTTCTTTCTTTCTCCGACTTCTTGTCGCACTTCACCTCGCTCAGACTAATTAGCAACCCCAGAGTCTCAGATTCGCCATGAACCACGCCAATCAACCGGGGGACTCAAGGTCAGTTCCTCCTCCGGACATCGAGACACCAAACGAAACAAACGCTGCTGAGCGCCCGGTAGGTGGCTGATGTTCATGAAGTTGAAATGCTGACTCTTGTCGACACATCCTTTGTCTAGGGCCGACCCCGTGGCAAAATCTGCCGGTTTCTGGGGAAGGTTACAAATGGTGTAATAAAAAAGATGTCTGTGAGTCGAATTCAATGCTGAGCGTACGGGGATAAGGCTGATATTGTACACAAGCGCTCGAGCTTGAAAGATTCACGCAGCCGTGACCCTGTTACCCCGGTTGTCGATCGTAAAGATGTCTCATCGATTCCGAATATCGAGGTAGGTCGCCTTTTAGTTTATGCACTTTGCATAAATTCTGTTGGTGCAGGTTCAGGATGTTTCCCCTGGTGCGAAACAAGGCACTGATCCCCAATCGGCACTCCGAGACGTCAACGAGGCTGCCAAAGGCATGAATTTACTATCGGGACCTGTGGCATCTGGAATCTCTGCTGCACAAAATGCACCAGCAGATGCATGTACATTCGAGGACACATATCTTCGACCTCTCAAGATATTCGATGCTGTTATAGGGAAGCTTGCGAATGTATGATTTCTCTCTTCCTCATCAGAACTAGACTAATACCGTTCTACAGGTACATCCGTATGCAAAGATGGCGTTGGGTGTGCTATCTTGCGCATCACAAGTACGTTCTTCTTCGCTCTTATTTATATTTCCTGCTCAGTTGTTTGGCATGCAGATAATTCTCGCTCAAGCGAATCGCGACGAAGCGATACTCAACCTCTACATGAAGTTAGGTCAAGTGTATGGCTTCATGACGCAAGACGACACGCTTCATCAAATTTTGTCCATGAGCACTATCTTGGGGCAGGTCTCTCAACAGACCCTTGAATGTGCCCATTTCATCATGGATTATTCAGAGAAGAAAAACTTTTGTGAGTCTCTACAACAAGTCATTTCGCTTTGCAGATTTTCAATCTTATTAGGGAAGAGACTCGGAAAGAATGTCATCTCGGAAACAGACGATACGATACAACGGTATAACAACGTGTTGGATGCGCTCATGCAAAACTTCCGGGACCAAGTTGCTCGCGACGTAGCAATCTACACCCACCGTACAAGTAAGGATTCAGGACATGCTTCTGGCTTGACACCCATTCATACTTCTACAGGCGAAATACTGGACCTCAGTGGTATGGCATATTCGGAGGCCGCAGGACTAGATACTAGGAAGCGATGCCTGCCAGGGACGCGCATGGACATTCTCTCTGACATCATGGGATGGATTAACGATAGTAGAGATGATGTTCCATGCGTGCTATGGCTATCGGGCCCTGCTGGAACGGGTAAATCAGCCATTGCTCACACGATCGCTAGCTCGTTCATTGGGGTGGGTGGACTCGGTTCTTGTTATTGCTTCGACCGAAACACGGACGATCGCCATAAAAAAGTTTTCTCCACTATCGCGCGCGACCTGGCTGACCGTCATCCCGAGATGAGACGAGCGTTAGCGGGTGCAGTCCAGAACGCAAATGCGCTCAAGACTACAGCGGATGTCGTACAGCAGTGGCAGAAGCTTCTCATCGAACCGTTAGGGAAGCTTTCTGAGTCACCCGTGGGGCCTGTCGTTATCATTATAGATGCACTGGACGAAAGTGGCAAGGCAGCGGAGACACGCAGTGACCTTCTACGTATTCTTGCCGGTAAACTTCGAGATCCAACCATCACCCACATCACAAAGCTCCCGAAAAACTTCCGGATCATCGTTACTTCTCGCCCGCTCCATGATATAGAAGCAGCGCTTGCAGGTGCTCAGCATATTCGACGCATGTCCATGGACGACATTTCATCAGCCACCACAGAGCGCGACATTCACGCCTACATATCGAACGAGCTGGAAGAGCCTTCGGATTTTGGGGACACACAGTTTGCAGCGCTTGCTAAAAAAGCTGATGGCCTGTTTGAGTGGGCGCGTCTTGCTTGTAAATCCATCAAGGCACCCCCTCCTGGCTTATCTCCATTTGAGTCCTTCGATGCTGTTGTTTCCCGCAATCCCGCTGAGCGGGAAAACTTGTTGTACGATATGTATGAGTTCATTTTGACAGAGATCATGCGAATAGATAAATCTCCGCATTCCACGTCTCGGCAGAAACAGCTAACAAGATTTCGTTCCGTGATGGGACAAATCCTTGGCGCATCTGAACCTCTTCCTCTGGAGTCCCTGAATGCCATGCGTCACCATTTTCCAGACAAAAGCGAGCGCTACGAAGTGCAAGTCATGGTCAAACATATGGGATCCCTCCTCAGCGGCACCACAAACTCATCTACCCCAATCCGGCCCCTTCATGTCTCCTTCCGCGACTTCCTGACAGACCAATCACACAGTGGAGAATTTTTCATCGACGTGTCAAAAGTACAACGCGACCTTGCTTTCGCATCGCTTCGAGTGATGGAACACGGACTTTCCTTCAATATCTGCGATCTAAAATCATCGTATCTCCCCAATTCCGAAGATCCCGGGCTGCTAGACCGAGTTGAAAAATACATCCCTCCACATCTATCCTATGCCTGTCGATTTTGGCCTGTCCACGTACAAGCAACTCATTTCGATCCAGACCTCGCCAAAGAAATAAAATCACTCTTCGAGCACGAGCGACTGTTCTTCTGGCTCGAGGTACTCAGCCTTATCAATGCGCTCAGTGGCGCAGTCACCACTCTCCCGCTTATTGCCAAGTGGTTGAAGGTGAGTACATTATTATTGAGTGTTAGATAACATGATCGCTTACATGCAATCACAATCGCAGGGTCACACCGGATATGAAGATGCCTCGTCCTGCTGCAGTGGACTGTGCAGAGATTTATTCCAAGTCTTCGGATGCCTCATTTTGCACAGCACACCGCATCTCTATGTATCGGCATTGCCGTTCTCGCCCTTTAATTCTCCGCTATTCAGACTGTTTTCTACACGGTTTCCCAACTCTCTTCATCTAGCATCTGGACGTGATATCAACTGGACGGCTGTTCAGACCGTGATCACCGGACACACAGATACGGTTAACTCAGTCTCGTTCTCACCAGATGGGACTCGCATTGCAACTGGATCGGTGGATTGCACTGTGCGACTGTGGGATGCAGCCACTGGGCAACCAGTAGGCGGGCCCTTGCTGGGGCACACCAAGTCAGTTTATTCAGTTTCATTCTCGCCAGATGGGACACACATTGTGTCTGGCTCGGCCGATAACACTATCCGGTTGTGGGATGTAAAAACATGGCAATCTGTTGGTGAACCCTTATTAGGGCACACTTCTTCAGTTTCATCGGTCTCATTCTCGCCGGATGGGACTCGCATCATCTCCGGTTCAGACGATAAGACGGTCCGGCTATGGGATACAGCAACGCGGCAGCCAATTGGTGAACCCTTACGGGGGCACACTAGTGGGGTTTACTCAGTGTCGTTCTCGCCGGATGAGACTCGCATTGTTTCTAGTTCAAACGATAAGACTGTCCAGCTGTGGGAAGCGGCAACAAGGCAGCCAGTTGGGCAGCCCTTGACAGGGCACACTTCTTCAGTCTTATCAGTCTCGTTCTCTCCGGATGGAACTCGCGTCGCAACTAGCTCTGCAGACAAGACTGTCCGACTATGGGATGCAGCGACAGGGAAACCCATATGCGAACCCTTAGAGGGACACACTGATTGGGTGAGGTCAGTTTCGTTCTCGCCGGATGGAAGTCGCATTGTTACAGGTTCGGATGATGAAACCGTCCGGCTGTGGGACGCCGCAACAGGGCAGCCAGTTGGTGAGCCCTTGGTGGGGCACACCAGTTATGTCTACTCAGTCTCATTCTCTCCGGATGGAAGTTGTATTGCGACTGGTTCTGCTGATAATACTGTCCGACTGTGGGATGTATCTACAGGGCAGCCAGTTAACGAGCTCTTTCAAGGTCACGCCAATTCGATTACCTCAGTCTCACTATCACCGGATGGCACCCGCTTCGCAACTGGTTCTAAGGGTGGCACTGTGCGGCTGTTGGATGCAGCAACAGGGCAGCCAGTCGGTGAGCCCTTGCTGGGGCACACTGCAGAAGTTCACTCAGTCTCGTTCTCTCTGGATGGGACTCGCATCGCAACTGGCTCTGCAGATAAGACTGTCCGGCTGTGGGATGCAGGGACGGGTCAATTGATAGGTGAACCTTGTCGCGGGCACACTTCCTCGGTTTCATCGGTTTCATTCTCGCTGGATGGAACTCGCGTCGTTTCTTGTTCGAGGGATAAGACGATCTGGCTGTGGGATGCAGGAACGGGGCAGCCAGTCGGTGAGCCCTTGGAGGGACATACTTCTTCCGTCAACTCAGTGTCGTTCTCGCCGGACGGGACTCGTATCGTGTCAGGCTCGGATGATAAGACAGTTCGGCTGTGGGATGCAGTGATGGGGCAGCCAATTGGTGAGCCCTTAGAGGGGCACGTTGAGGAGGTCAACTCAGTCGCTTTCTCGTGGGATGGAACTCGCATCGTCTCTGGTTCGGACGATGAAAAAATCCGGTTGTGGGACGCAGGAACAGGGTTGCCCATTGGCGAGCCCTTGGAGGGACACACTGATTGGGTCAAATCAGTCTCGTTCTCACCTGATGGGGCTTACATCGTTTCTGGTTCGCTCGATATGACTGTCAGGCTGTGGGATGTAGCGACAGGGCAGCCAATTGGACAGCCCTTGCGCGGGCATACGGAAGAAGTTAACTCAGTCTCTTTCTCGTGGGATGGGACTCGCATCATTTCTTGTTCACATGATGGTACTGTCCGTGTCTGGTATGCAGCGACCAGGAAGTCATTGCAGGACCACGCCGAAGAAGACCGTTCACCATCCTCCCCGCCCGGCAGTTGCATCTCACATCCAACAGCGGTTATCCCCACACCCAACACTGTGAAAAATAACTCTATTTCCTTCTCATCCAACTCGACACACGCTCTGTGCGACACTGCTGAGCTACTCGCAGGCGCTTCTGATGACGACCACACTTATTTGCTGGGAGCTGATGGATGGGTGTTAGGACCAAATCGTCAGCTCTTATTCTGGGTACCACCCGCTTCTCGAGAACCATTTTATAATTCTTGGACTGCATTAGTGATTGGGAAAAGATGTGTTGAGCTTGATTTGAGTCGCATGGCACATGGGACACGCTGGCAGCACTACTGCAAGGAGTGAGTATCCATTATTTTACGTTCTTCGCAGTTAATCAATTCGGTCATTGTAGCTCTTGATTACGATCAATCCGTCCCAGCAAATTGACTTGCGGAGATGCCAGATACTACAGAGTACAATAATCGAGTGTGTTGCTAATCCATCGTCTATTGGTCTATTGCATGTATACGTAGTGTTGTATTTGAAATCGCAGTTTGAGCGAACGACGTGTTATGAAGATGACTGGGTAAGATTCTTCAGAACAGAAGAAGATTGTACGAAGTACAATTCTCATGGTGCTCTCTTTGACGTATATAATAACGAGAGCACCGTAAGAATGTACTTACATGCAAGAATATTAGACGCAAGGCATGGAACCTGCGAAACTTGAAAAATGAATGGAAATGTACGAGTGCCTGGGAAGCACGAAGCAGAAAACAATAACGAGGGCCAGGTGACTTTTCGGAATGATGAAGGAGAATTGAGATGTGCTAGTTGCGGGAAACTGCTCGGCCTTTGCATCCGATCCAAGTTTCTATTGGGCAACCAGGAGACTCTTTGTAGCTATTGGCTCATTTGGGCGTTGACATATTGGTCCAAGGTGCAGGTCGATTCTTGCAACTGGAAGCAAGTAAAGTCGTCGGTGTCAAATTTGTGTCGCAGAGAGTAGGTCTGAGTGGTCCTAACAAGATGTGGAAGGAACGAGTCGAACGAAAAGAATTTTGTCGAAGCGGGCTCGCTTGTTCGCATTCAGTGGATAGGCACCAGGGTCAACAAAAACCAGTTCATGTTACAAAAATTACTAAACGCATTGGACATAGACAAGCAACGAATTGAGAAGTGCCTGCCTCTGGTAAAGGTCTGCTAGTGAACGTGTCTGAAGGGCGCTTCTGAGATGTACGACGCATTGACCCCAAATGAAAATTGATGAACTGATAGGAAAATGGCGACAGAATCGAAGTTCCAGTTGCTACACCACTCGTCCGCCACATGCCTAGTCTCGTCTGCAAGGACCCCTTACTTCATAAGCTCATCTCGTACCCTGCACCTGGCTGCCACCATGTCATCCTGAAGGTCCGCCGGTTTTAAAGGAAATGGTAAGCCGTCCTTCGGTCGCGCTTTGAACCATCGCGTTCCACTTTCGTGCATAAGGGACGCTATCGCCTCCGGGTCATCGTCATTTACGTCTGCATTAGCAGCAGAAACCACCTCCTTGAGCGCTAAGAGCGGATCTTGATAGTGGCCTTACTGAACAACCGAGAACTTCGTTTTGTTGATGATGTCGTCTGTTAATGAAATCGGGCTTGGCATGTGCGGCATGTAAAAAGTGGAAATTCCTCCAAGAAATTGAGTAAGGTACCTGGCAGCCATTGCGCTCTGCTGTATAGCGCTCGCACTAGACGTCCGATGCGGAGCAAAACCAAATGTAGCTCGGCGTCGGGCACCGTGGATGATGTGGCTGTGCTGGGCGTGTTTCATAATGAGCCCGATTTGTCCAACTGACGTGTTATAGTATTACTTTGCTTCTTCCACTGACCCGTCATGTCCCTTGTAACCCGCTGGTTCTCAAAGGTAAGCTCATTAGTCCTTTTCTGTGGTTCTGCGCTAATTTTTTCTACTAGGGTGGGCCAGAGAACTATGAGGAAGTCCTCTCTGCACTTGCAGCAGATGTTGCACGACGACAGACACGTCTGGCAGAGATCCGACTCCGTGAGCGGCGGACGACACTCCAGTTCACGCTCGGAACGCTCTCTCTATGGATATCATTTGTATACTTGTGGTATACGCGTATACTTCCTACAGCGTGGCATGACTCCCTGCTAGCGAAAGTGGCAGTCCTAGTGGGACCTGTAATGTACGTGCTATCATGCAGTTTCAATTTATTCCCACCACATTCATGTGTCACCCTAGAATATTATTTATACGGAGGATGATGCAGATATGGTATTCTTGGAAAGGCGGACGCGAAGGTGAGTTCTTCAGAAACAAATTCTTTCATCATTCAATGAGAGTGCGGCAGAGAAAACCCTCAGAGTTGTCACTCAAAAACAGCGAGCCAAAGTTGAAGAAATTAAGAAAAAGACCAATTATGACTCAACACGAAGCCTGCTTGAGAAATACGCTGACCCCGGCACCCCGATACGCCGTCCGCAGCCTCCTTCACAGCTCCATACGCCACTGTCCGCAACATCACTGGCACATCTACAAACACCTGTCGTCCAACAAAGGAATCTACCTCTACAGCTTTCGCGTACGTGATTGCGCGTCTGCGGATAGTTTGACACTCTGAGACATCTTGCAGCAACGCCACAGCCAATTCAGCCAATTCGTAAGCGATGGTATGACAAACTCGCTGATGCCATTCTGGGTGATGAGGAATCATCAATGAACGTGGCTGCCTCACGCTACGCATTGATTTGCCAGAAGTGCTTCTCACACAACGGGCTCGTTAAAGAGAGCGTCTGGGAGGACACCCGTGAGATTGCTCAAAACCTGTTCACTTCGACATGCTGATGCATTTGTCAGAATACGTATGCCCGAAGTGTGGCTTTCTCAATCCTTCCGCCAGAACAAAGAAATTGAGACTTCAACGCACGCCATCGCCACCTGTCAATGCGGATATGAACCCAACGGTATCTCCGCAACGTACTCCTATGGAGGGGGTGGAATCAACCGCGCCGATTGTCGACATGGCGCCTGAGAAGAAAGAGTGAGTCCAGTCGCGAGAAATGTCTCGTCGTACACCAGGTGATGCAATGCAAACAGTGCACTCTGCATCGTAACCTGTTCGTTTCAAGGATCTAACAAACCTTGAGGACTTTTTGCTTGGTTTTTAGCTGTAGCATCATCACCATTATCGCAGTAGGTAGTCACAGTTGACCTCGTTTTGGTCCATCACACCCCTTTCGAATTCATTTTACTGTAGCATCGGTTAGTTAGTAGTAGTTTGACTCGCAAGTTGCAACAAGAATTGGATTCAAGTCTGTTATATTACTGTTGTACCGAAGCAACTGTTTTCTCCTAATGGTCCTTGTCACTGATGGATCGCCGTGAAAATCTTCAGCGTAACATTTGATGTCTCGTGATTAGTTACTCAGGCCACACCATACTTATATGAAGTCCCCGTTTACATAATGCGCAGTGCCGATTGTGCAGAAGCTGAATCTGAAGTTGTGGTGATGCTGGAAGGGATGAACCGGAAAGCAAGATGCGACACCGTAGGATGATAGTAGGGCAGGCTCTCCTTTGGGTACAAGTGGTGTAAGGACCAGCGTGGACGGAAGGCCCGCAAATTCACCAGTTTCAAAGGCGTAAAGCGTACAGTGCTGCTCTAGTCCTGAGTCTCTACCTGGCCTACGCGGTAGCAGCTTGCGGTGAACATTGCGTACAGGGTAGTATCCCTCCAGACATAGAGCAGACGTACGTTGGGATGGTGGTATCGGAGTCTGAGATGGTGTCTGAGCGCAAGATCAATGTCGAATTGTATTCTAGGTGATGAGTCAATTGCGAAACAGCCGCCTCGAACTGTTGGAGTAAATCAGATCAACCAAGCTAGAACTGGCAGATAGCCTGTAGACTGCGCACCAATTCAAGCGGGACATCTGCAGGACAGCTAACCAACGACTGGAATCTGAAGTGCAAAGGATTGGAATTTGAATTGCACAGCGACGGTACGTCGTGATGAAGCCGGTGGACATCACTGACACCTGATGAATTTGAAGGATTGAATCTTGGTCGCTGAACTGAGGGTGCCGTAGCCATATGTATAGGAGAGGAGAAAGATGGATCAAGTTGCAAAAGTGCAAATAAGGACTCCGCTATTTTCCTGATGTAATAGTTTTGGATGACCCACCGGTGTACAACATGATTGTTGTACATACTAAACCGCAGACCCTACAGGCCATCAGTTGCTAAGAATTTTCATGCCTGTCACACCTTTGGTGGCATCAGCGATTCTTTCATTCACAAACTCCGGGTCCAGTTATTCAGATTGATGATGGAATATATGTTTTCGAGCCAGGGGGAGAAAACTAAGGATGTTCCGAGCGAGAACTTGGTGATGCCCAAGTGATGCCTATTGCACCGCGGTCACGTGGTGCGGCTGCTTGGCTTTTTGTCCTCGATACGCTATTACTCCTGATCTCAATGTAAAATGTACAAACTCAACTGCATTGTCTTGGGCGATGATCCTCGCCGTGTATTTGAGATCAAGACTGCACAGACAGAGAGTGTCAGCGCCCTCCGAAAGGTTATCAAGGGCGTGATGAAGCCACAATTTGAACATGTTGCCGCTGACGGTCTGACGCTATGGCAGGTAAGTGATCTGATTCCTACGATTGGGTGTTGAAAAAAATCTGATATTTTGGAAGGTCGACTTGCCTGTCAACAAGACGGTCGAGCAAGACCTTGACAGTTTTACACTTGACACAAAGAAATACCTATTACCTGTGGCTGAAATGCTCGACAATACTACTCAGCGTAAGCATGTGCATATCATTATCCGGCCCACACCTACCGGTGAGTTGTCTTTCGACATTGCCACCTTTTCCTCCTTACTGATTGCAGTCTGACTTAGTGTCTTCTGGGCCGCTCCACCTCAAACTCAACTACATTCTCTCAGGTGATAATCTTCGCCGTGTATTTGAAATCAAGATTGCATCGACAGAGAGTGTCAGCGCCCTCCAAAAGCTTATCAAGGACGCGCAGAAGCCACAATTTGACTGTATTGCTGCTGACGCTTTCGAGCTATGGCAGGTGAGTGATCGATGCCAGAGGTCTAATGCTGACGATCTGATCATTGGAAGGTCAAGGTTAATTTGAACGACCTACACTTACTCGACGCAATCAAAGACCAAGGTGTGGAGTTGAAGCCGTTAACCAAACTGTTCGAAGTGTTCACGGATGGAGTAGAGTGCGGATGTATTCATGTCGTTGTACTACATCATACTGTTGGAGAAAACCCCATCGTTGCACAACGAATCGCTTATCTCAAGAGGGACACACGCCCCCAAAACCACCCAACCCACACCCAACTATATACAAGTGCATACCGCTCCGCGGCTCGTCTCGGTTAATTGCGTAGTCTAGTTCGTTAACAACTAATATGTATTTTATTTGAAGACATGTTTGCGCATATAGAGATGCGCCATTCGCTCGATCATCATTTCTTGTCTCATTCGCTAGATGCTCTCGCTTGGTTGTTGTATGCTCCCGCTTGTTTTCTCCAGGCTGTTATTCACTTGCTATATGCTCACGCTTGCTTGTACGCTCTCGCTCATTTACTTGGTACTCTCGGTTAGCTTACTGCCATATCTCTTACTCCCGGCTCTGTGGCTAGTCCCAGAGTCAATACCATACTTATTGGTACGGGTGTTCATACCATTCGACTGCAGACATCAAACAATCTCGTCGTTGCTGAACGTTTAAACATTGACTACTACATTAAACGTGAGTTCTCTTCGTAAGCCTAAGGCCTGACAGGGATCATCATCAATAAGACATCTAAAAGCGAAAACGTGGTCTTGGACATGACAAACACATAGATGTAAGATCCAGCTAGTTGTGCAACAATCGAATGAAAAAAGGCGTGTCTACAATGGCGAGATATGTGTGTGGCCCATCTAAGGGGCGCAGTGTACGGTGTGTACATATACTTAGATGTACACATGAAACGTGACTGGGTCGCTACGTCTTCCCTTTAGTGGTGGTCTTGCTGATGAGCTTGGCCTTTTCCAATTGGGCCTCGCCTACATGATAATTAGCATACGATTGGACGAGAGAGTTTGAAATCGTACTGTGCTTCACAAGGTTCTTCTTGTAGTCGACGATACTAATATCCTCCTTCGTTAAATTGCGAATTGTCTTATCAGCGACTTCCCAAAGCTCCTCAGCAACTTGACTAATCAAACGGAAGTCGTGTGACACGATCACCACGCCACCTTCAAAGTCCTTGATTGCACGCGCGAGCGCATCGATGGAATCCATATCCAAATGGTTCGTAGGCTCATCTGTCTCATCGCTGATCAGTGAATTGTCAGAAAACGAGCGAAAAAAGAACAAACCAAGGAGTAAGATATGAGGATGTTCCATTGCGAGCTGCGCGAAGACCACTCTGAACGTCTGTGAGTCAGACATCGCCATCCATATTAGACTGCTTACCGGTTTCTCAACCCGTCCGACAAATTGCTGATGACGCTCGTTTGGTGCGCACCGCTCAGGCCGAAACGGCCGAGTTGCTGCCTCCACGCCATAAAGTCCTTCTCGGGGTATTTTTGGGAGAAGAGCGATTGGAAGTACTCGATCGGACTTTTGTTGTATGGTAGCTGGTCCGCGCTGTGTTGGCTGTACTTGGCAAGTTTGAGCGCAGCATGCTTGGAAACAGTGCCTTGAGAGGGCTGTAGGACACCAGTGATGAGGTTGAGAAGTGTCGATTTTCCAGCACCGTTTGCACCGAGGATGGCTACACGAGAATCCATACTACATACGAGTGAGCGGGACAAGACTTGAGATATGAAGAAAAGACGCACTCTATACCGAATGACAATTTTTTGTACAAGTAATCTTCAGGCTTGCCCGAGTATGAGAAGGCGACTTCGTCGAATGCAATGATGGGAGGAGGGAGTTTGCGGATATCCTCGAAGTGGAAGTGCAGTGGCCGAGGTGTCTCGACTTTTTCAATGAGTCCTGCTGCCTCCATCTTGTCGATAATTTTTTGTTTCGACTTGGCCTGCTTGACGAGGTTGGCATATGTACCAGCGGAAGCGATGAATCTGGCAGCGTTCAGTTAATGAGGAACTACGAGGAATAAATGAACGCACTTTTTGATGTGGGCTATTTCTTCTTGCTGCTTGTGGTATGCCTTCATCTGATTCACCTCGTTCTCCTGTTTGGTGCGTACGTAGGTGGTGTAGTTACCGGTGTAGTAGACGAGCTTCTTCTTATCGTCAAATCCATGACGTTAGTACAGACCGAGTCCATGAAGTCTTGCGAATGCGAGGTGATAACGAGAATATGGTTGTATGTTGATAAATATGCTTCAAGCCAAACAACAGCGCCGAGATCCAAATGATTCGTCGGCTCATCAAGGAGGAGTAGATGTGGCTTAACAAAGAGTGCACGCGCAAGGGCAACGCGCATACGCCAACCTCCACTCATATCTTTTGTGGGACGGGCCATCATAGCCTGGCTGAAGCCGAGACCATGGAGGATACTGCCAGCCTTGGTCTCAAATGTATTTGGATCCATCTCCTCGAGTTCCTCGTACGCGGCTTCCAGTGCGGCGTCATCAACATCATCTGCGATGCTGAGATCTTCGATGCGCTTTTCGAGTTTAGCGACCTTCTCGCGAGCGGAAGCCACGATAAATTCAACGGCATTAACATCGGACGGCTCTGCCTCGCCACGGACGAGGTAGATGTCAATGTGTGGTGGAATTTCAATGTCACGCTCTGCGATGGATTGGAGGAACGTAGACTGAGGGAATGTGTAAGATGGTAAGATACAGCGGGAATATGAGACTATACCTTTCCAGACCCATTCTCACCCAATAAACCATAGCGTTGCCCGTAGTTGAGGGAAATTTCTGCACCCTCGATGAGCAGACGACCATGGAATGATAACGTATAGGAATCGATTTTAATATCTCTGCCTTTCGCATCTGACACAAGGACTCCCGCTGCACTCCTATAGCCGGATCAGAATACTTCATCATAGTGGACATGATACGCACCTATCGGTGGCGATCTGGAGCTTGGCCATGGATGTCAGATCATCCGTGCTGTTGGCGGCAGAAATACTGGTGAGTGGGGTATGGGACATGCTGCCTGGCACAGAGTCATTAGGTGTAGACGTCGAAGTTGTGCCATTTTGCTTTGCAGATTGCTTTGCGGCCTTTTCTGCGAGCCTCTTCTGCTTTGACGCTGAGGGAGGCATTGCGAATGATGTGCACGATGCAAAATCAATTTCTCGCAAAGATCAAGTTCGGAGTTCAAAGATTTATGATCTATGATTTGATAAATGATTATTTGAATTATTACATAATAAAACGCCTTCTGGAGTCCTTGCCCCCTTGATATGACGAATGATGGGCCTATAAGTCACGTATCTACCGATATCATGTCTTCCTCAGACCAACAAGAGCCTCAGGCTGTCCGTCCGTTAGAGATCCTGTATTGCCAAAGTAAACACGATTTTCCTTTTTTGACCCGTATTACTGATGTACGTTAATTTCTCAGTCTGTACATTTCCTCCCGAATACTGTGAATTTGGCTCTAGCTTGACGAGATGCAAGGAATGGCTCCAAGGAGCACACTCTCAGCTTTTTGATAAATACTACTCAGATGGTAAGCATTGTATCACAGAACTAGTTTTTGCTAATCGCGATGATCTTGAAGAGGCTCTCCAGTCAAAGATTGGTACCCTCAGTTTGGAGGCGCAGGCAAAACTCGAGAAGGACACTGCAAAAAAGGAAGCAAAGGCTGAGGCAAAGGCGGATGCTGCGCTTAAGAAAAAGATGGTACGTCCTCGAGTTACCTGGATCATAGATTCATCACTCAAGTCCATACAGGCGTCGCAAGTGTCAATTAAGCGCATCGAGCGTAACAAGCGGAAACACGTTACAGCTATCCACGGCCTTGAGGCATTTGGTATGTTTACCGCTTTGTGGGCAATCCATCAAATGAAACAAATTACATGTAGACATTGAGTTGAAAAAAGCTGCTAAATTCCTTGCTCAGAAGTTTGCTACTGGGGCATCCGTCACCAAGAACGCCCAGGGACAGGATGAGATCGTAGTGCAAGGAGATGTATCAGACGACGTCATGGAGCTTATTGAAAACGGAGCTGGTCCATTGAAGGGTGTGCCTGCGGACAACGTTGTGATCGTTGAAGAGAAGAAGAAGAAAGCTGGTGAATAATTGTATCGGCTGAAGTCCTGTATTGCAGTAGTGATTGATGTATCCATTCCAACTCTAGATCGTATGCTTTGTCCTAGCTAACGCGATTGTGATCTTATCGAGGGTGTAAGTATCATAGTAACCACTGTGGGAATTCACAGAAGACGAGGCAGTCTCTCCGAAGACTGCCTCATGTTAAAGCTTTATCCTTCTCATGTCACAAACCATGCTCAAAAGTTAAAGCTATAGCAGGCGCTATCTTCAAAGCGGACACTTATGAAAGAACTCGCATCAAAGAGTTCACCGACAAAATGCCGCACAAAAGATCATTCGTAAGGCAACTTCCACAAAGATACACTTATTTTGGTTTACACACAATCTGCAGCAATCGCTTTGACTACGTACCTTTCATGGTTTTGGCTCGAGCCACCCATATGTGTTTTTTTCGCTCTTTGACATACGATAGTATAAATCCAAGGTCAGTTTTACATGTCTTGTCATCACCAAGTACTCATCCCGATAATCTCTCTTTTCCTGTATACGCATAACTTTCTACGATGGCGTACATAAACCCTCTTCATCCCCCTGTCCCCAGTAGCGTTCACTCATCATACACTGCCCTTGCTGGTGCATGCTCCGCGTATCAACCTCCCTTCGCTCAAGCTTTGCCGCCCACCCACCGACGCCTGCCTCAGGCGCCATCATCGAAGGCGCCAACATCTCGTCGTTCCCCTCCTTGTCCTGCTGTCACGTTTGACCTTTATGGGGCTCCCTCGCATGGTCTTGGCGTTCCCATGTGTGAGCTGCTGGCTCGTTCGGGAGGTGCATTGGAACGTATGCTCGTCGGTGCGAATGATGGCGTCGGTGCTCAAATGAGCGGATCTTTTGGCTTTCGCAGAGTCAATCTCAAGATCTTGGTAAATCAACCCATATCATGCATTAATTACGTTGCCTCATCTCCTTCTTCACTTTAGTGGCCGGGATATGAGCATCTTGATCGCACTTACCCCCTTGACATCCATACTCCAGCTGGTCCTCTCACCCGAGGGCCACTCGCCGTCCAAGTTGCACGTGCATTCGCGCGCTTCATCGAGGTTTGTCTTTTCTACAGTTTCAGTCGTGTTCACACTCACAGCATTTCCACAGGAACTGCAAGGTTACTCCCCTGCACAGCACGGCGCCAGTTGGCGCTTCGGAAATGGTGGAATTGGTTTTAATCGCCTCATGCTTTCGGCGCTTTGGAACGTCCACGATGATGTATGGTTGGCTGAGGTCATCGTCGACTTTCGTTAAGCAGAGTCGTGGATTTGATTCGTTGGTCATCGCCGCATGTGTCTTCTCTCAACTCACACCTAACACAGCATAAGTAACACTCATACTCGCTTATACTCACATACATGTAGCCCTAGATATTTCGTCTCTTACTTTTACTTTATCATAGATTGTCTCCTTATGATGCCCCACACTTACTCACAACTGTACATATTCAACCAACCACGGGACCTGAACTAACCAATTATAACTTGTATAGCTTTGTATAGATTACATTTGTACCTTCGTCGTGTTTCCTGTGCACCTACTTCGCGAAATGGAACGAAGCACACTTCGGTTCACAGCAAAGTCTATCGGCCAAAGTGCGCTTAGCTTGCAAGGTTTTGGGGTTTCGCTTTCGAAGCGTTTCAAATGGACTTGATCAATTGAGGGCTTAGAATGTTTCGTAAGGTCTGCATACCGACCAAAAATAACATTTTCTGATGCATACAGCCAACTTGAATGTACTGGCCGGAACATGCAAATGTAAAGTTGTGTAAGATATCCCCATAATCTTGTCTTCGTCCGTGTGCACGGGGCATGAAATAACGTTGAATTCAGAATGTTGGACACGTTGAATGATGGAAGTCGATAACCGAAAGGCCCATCAGGCTAGTCACTAGCGTACAGTTCCAAACAAGGAGCAACTTGGAAGCGTCGGGTAATCAATAATCGATTAATCACTGGCAGTCACTAGAGTCGTAACTTGCCTAAACACGAACTTTTAGAATTGTCAATGAGCACTACCATCAATAGGCAGTACACAGCACCTTCGGCTCGGACCGCCAAGTAATTTTCATTACAACTCTGCTAGATATATCACACATGCACAACGAACGTGGGTGCCAAATTCTCGTCAAATAACTCCCTGACCTTAGACGACCATGGGCGATCATAATAGACCCACACCTGCTATAGAAAAACAGATACCAACTTCGAGACACATTCTGCAACGTGCCAAAGGCTTGTTGACAAGTACTGGTATACCCACGCTAGCTGCGCAGGAAGCACTCCAAATTATTGCACCGGACCCGTCTCCAGACAGGGGAATGGCATCACACGCGAACTCGGATGATGGGAACGGGAGGCTAAGAGATTCCATGATAAGTTTTCTCAAGGCGAAAACGGCTCCGATGGTCAAGTCTATTCGATCGAGGAGTCAAGATGCTCGCCGTAATAGGAAGGATGATCATTCTGATTCATGTCCTCCTCCAATAAGCATGACGACTACGCCTAGCGCAGTCGCTTCATCGGAAGAGCAACCGACGGCGACGACGCTTGTTGTGCCCAATTTACTAGGTACAACAATCTCTGACATCGCACCACCCACACGACGCATTGCTGAAAAGTCATCCATGGCCGACGGAACTGTTCCTCTACTGCTAAGAGAAGGAGTAAAGATGACAAAAATCTCTCCTGGAAAGCAGAGAAGTTATGTGTTTAAACTCGATCCTGATCAAGGTCAGATCATATGGCAATCCAAGAAACTGCGGATCAGTACGTACTTTGACCAACGCTATCCTCTGGGCTGTTGAACTGAATTATTACAGTCCCAATCGAGAATATCAAGGAGCTTCGCTTCTCATCCGACGCCCGTTATTATCGCCAACAGTTCCAACTCGCGCAGGATTACGAGGACAGATGGATTACCATCATCTACATTCTCAATGGCGCTTATAAAACTCTCCATTTGATCTCCTCGACTAAGGATGTATTCTGCATGTGGCACATCACACTGAGGAAGCTTTATGCAATACGCCAAGAACTGATGACAGGCCTTGGGAATGAAGAGATTAGACGTGCGATCTGGGAGAAGCAGTACTGGACGGCATCGGATGAGTCGAGCGACCAGAAGCTGCGCTTTGATGAGGTGGAGAAGCTCTGCAGACGCCTAAATGTCAACACTTCGACAGAGGAACTAAAGCGACTATTCAAGGTGGAGAAAACTCATTTTTCTCACACGAAAAGCTCACAACTGCGTAGCAAGCAGACACGAAGTGTCAGAGTTTTCTTAACTTTTCTGACTTCCAGCGCTTCGTCAAACTGCTCAAGGCACGCCCAGATATCACCCTGTTGTATCGGAAACTATGCTACAGCAATGACGGGCAATTTGATTTTAGCGTCTTTGAGCATTTCTTGCGTGATACTCAGAAGGCATGTTCTTCGATTTGATCCAGCCTTGCGAAACTGAATATCATTTAGTCTACGCTGTCCCGCCCTGAACTCTTAGAACTGTTCACGCATTACGCCCAGAAATCAGATGGTTCACCGGACATCAGCCCGCCACACTCTCCATCCTCGCTTGAAGGACCCGCATCTCCGCCCGCAAGATTGCTTTCACCTCCATTGTCTACTTCTCCCCCATCCGATACTGTGTTATCACAATCCCTCACAGCTCCTATCGACGTGTCGCTGGACTACATAAGTCACAAACTTTCTGCATCTTCTCAGTCACCTAGACCGGTCATGTCACTTGATGGGTTTACCTCGTTTCTTTTGTCTTCGGACAATTCAGCTTTCATAGAGCGACAAGGCAAAGTATGTCATGACATGACGCATCCACTTTCGGAGTATCTTATATCTTCCTCGCACAACACATATCTTATCGGTCACCAACTCGTTGGTTCTAGTACAATCGAAGGCTACATCCGGGCTCTTCTTCACAGCTGTCGTAGCGTCGAGAGTAAGTGCAATATTTTCTGAGGTTTCTTTGACTTATTTCACTACAGTTGACGTCTACGATGGCGACAGTGAGCCGATGATATTTCATGGAAAGACATTTACTTCCAAAGTTCCGGTGAGAGAAGTGTGCGAAGCCATCGCAAAGTACGCTTTCGTCACGTCTCCATACCCCGTCATCATATCTGCCGAAATCCACTGTTCGGTGCTGCAACAGGAGATGATGGTGGAGGTCATGCGCGATGTATTCCAAGATGCGCTTATCAGTGCACCTGTGGAAGGACGCCCGACGTTAGAGGTTCTTCCAAGTCCGGAGCATTTGAAAGGGAAGGTACTGTTGAAGGTGTATTATGTTTTTCATATGGGTGGAGTCTCGTGTTTACAGTATTGCAACCTCTAGGCAAAGAACCTCTATGTCTCAGAAAACGAATCTATTCGTACGAAAGAAGTTACCATCGACACGGAATCCTCTTCTACCGAAACATCCACAGACTCAGATGTCGTTCAAGACATCAGGGACGAACGGATAACGCTAAGGGTCCTTGAAAGGGATGCTATCAACGGTGAGATACGCACAGCAAGTTTACTTTTTTCGTGGCTCATGGATGAGATAGAGGTAAAGGACGAATTGAAGAAGGCCCGCAGTCTATTCGATCGTGTTCGAAGTGGACATTCCCGCAACTTGTCTGGCGTAGCTGCTCTTGCTGTGCCGACTGTGACTTCTATGGCGACCTCTGAGCCCCCTGCTCGACCGGAATTACGTGACGTCAGCAAAGTTAAGATGTCGTTCGCTGTTGCGAGCCTCCTTGTATACACTGTTGGTGTGAAGTGCCGAGGTATTAACAAGAAAGAGCACTACGCACCGGAACACATGTTTTCTCTCTCTGAGAAAACAGCCAACAAGGTGATGAAGCAAGGAATGGTGGATCTTATCAAGCACAATAGGACCCATCTGGTTCGAATATATCCAAAAGGTTTGAGGGTGAACTCGTCTAACTACTTACCTCATCGCTATTGGGCTGCTGGCGCGCAGCTCGTGGCCATCAACTGGCAGACATTTGGTACATTTCCCAGACTGACTATTGTCAATTGATGCTGACTTGCGTCTAGATCTAGGTTACATGATCAACCATGCCATGTTCCAGCGCAACGGACGAGCGGGCTACGTCTTGAAGCCCTTGGCCCTCCGTATACATGACAAGGAGTTGCTATCTCGGCATACTCAACATTCGCTTGACATAGTAGTATGTATTTTCCTCGTTGTACTTGATGCGATCAACTCTTATGCTTTCATAGGTCATCTCTGCTCAACAGCTACCCCGTCCGAAAGACTCTCTCGGGCACGAGATCATGGATAAGTCTACGGTAGACCCATACGTCGAAGTTTCCATCCACGTTCCCGACTGGCCTCATGCTTCGTATCACTCATCCTCCTCTTCTACAACCCCTTCACCCTCCTCAACTGGCTCCACTGGTCGACTGCTGTCCAGACGCACCAATTCAGTCAAGAATAATGGCTTTAACCCTGTTTGGCAGGAAGTACTGAGCCTTCCTTTCGATTGTGTCGGTGACATGTTTGATTTGATCTTTGTGCGCTTCGCGGTGCGCAGGGATGGCGACAACGATGAAGAGCCGATTGCTGTGTATTGTGTCAGCCTTGGAAGTTTGGCGATGGGTTAGTATTTTCAGGACTGTGGCGCGACTCTATTAACATCATCTGCAGGCTACCGGCATCTCCCCCTGCACGATACGCAACTTTCCCAGTATCTATTTTCTACTCTTTTTGTAATGTGTGCTATCAACTAACATCACATCTAACTTCATTGTGCAACGACACCTTTATGTTTTCGTTCACAAGTGAAATATATCACGCAGCAGGAATAGACACTTAGATCATTAATTGTGTGGTAACCAAGATATATAAATAAATTGCGTGCACACTCCAATGGACATCATTCAATTCAGAGATAAGTACTTGAGATGACGAAACGGCATGACAGTAGATGAAGGATATAAACATCGGTTGATATAGATGCATGAAATCTATAATTGTTCGATTTCTTCTACTTCGGTGGGGGAGTTGGTGGACCTGGAATGGAAGACGACGAAAGGTTAATAAAACTAATCGCGCATTACGTGGGACACATTGACGAACCGAAAAGACCGGGACGTGCAGCCGGCGTCACAGGCCTGGGGGAAACAGGTGCAGGCATCGGTGCTGGTGTGTGTGCAGGATTTGCTAAAACATGGAGATCATTCTAATTATGACGTGTCAATCAGAAGGAGCATAACACATACGCCTCCATTGGGCCCATGCAGGCAGATTTGGCTTTGGAGGTTCAATCGCAGGAACGGGAGCCGGAGCAGGAAGACTCTTGGGAGCTGGCCTTTCTCGTTTTGTTGGTTTATGGACGACTCTCCAGGCTGGACGGGCGGGGCCACTTAAGCCTTCTTCTGGAGGTGGGGAAGCTGCGGGAGGTGGAGGTGGAGGCGGGTCTTGAGGCTACGATTACATCAGAGCTTGGTGATGCCTCAAGATCCTATAGTACTCACTGGTGGCCTCCAATCAGGCGAATATTCACCTCCTGCGCCATGTTTGGATTTAACGGCCATAAGCTCGGCAATTTCGCTGTTCGCGTTGGCAGTCAGCTACGCACATTGGCCGGATAAAGGGTGAATGCGTACAATTGAAGCTGCCTGCGCTCATCCCTAAGCTTTCCTACCTCTGCTAGCAAGATGCGAACCTCGCTCGCAAGGGCTTTACTAAAATCGTTGAGGTATCTGGTGTGGCCCATCCATGAGTCTTCTAGCGTCCTTCCCGCGGAAAAACTATAGTGATCTCACTTGGGAGGAGCGCCGTTGTTATAGGAATTTGGGCCGCCTTTATTGGAAGACATTATGCTTTGAAAGTCTGCGGTGATGAGTTGGAATGGAGACTGGGATTATGGCTTTCTGACAAAGGTTCCGGTGCGTGGACTCAGACTTGGAAGCAAGAAGCTTGGTACACACGAGGCAATTATAGTGACCGCCTGAATAAGTAACTGGCCTGCACGCCAAGTCGCATGTGTTTACCAGACACTAGTCTACAACTAGTACTGTGCTATTCGGCGGTGTGACGACTGATTCAGAGTTCGCCACTCACCACAACGACTGCAAGCCTATATTACCCTCAAAATTCGAGAACCTTTGACGTGAGGAGATTTCTAAATATTACGTACGTACTATACACGCATGTCTAAATTTGGATCGGACAGGAAAAAAAAAGATCGATGAGTTACTTATGCACATGCTGGGGAGCAGGCTCATTGACATTCGCTGAACTAAGTGCGCAGGTATGCTTATGGCCGTAGTAGACTCTGAGGAGAGAGCCACGTTCCTGACAAACTGGTCCCAGAATCGCATCAACATACATAACTCATCATGTGCCACTGAGTGATACCACTCATTTCGCGATTCGTCTGAGCGAGAACAATTTGCAAAAACAGAGAGGACTCGGGACGAGATAGACGTACTTTTGATGCACGCGACAACATACTCAGCGGCATTTGTGCGTATGGATACATCTATACAACAGTATCAGTTCGGTTCTGAGCGAGAAGAAGGGCTCATACATTCCCAATATCAAGTATCGGATGTCGTACTACGTTAAATATATGTGGCCTGGATATTGTCAGATAGAGCGTTGTGAATAGGATGAATTTTATGAGCCACGTACCGAGCTGCAAAATTCTAGAGGATGATCTGACCTGAGTCTGTCACATCAGGATGAGATAGGCGAGTCCCTTCACCAGTCGTGAGTACTCGAATGCGTAGATCAGCGTGAGTGTGAGAAATAGCTGGCGAAGAAGTGAATCCGCCAGTTCCCATGCATTGCGTCCCGCGTCGTTTGAATGCCCTTGACCGCAACTCGAAGCCTTGAGACAATTTAGTTGGATCAGCATATTGGAATGTCAGTATTACCGATTCTAATAAAAAATGAGGGCGAGAGGCAATCAAGAAGACTGACGACCAGTCCTAGTCAAGTATCAGTCCCGTCAATCAAATGCAAATTCGACTATCAGAAGATATTTAGGATTGCGATGGGTCAGCTTGCGAGGGACCAGTTCGTGACAGACCAGCCTGTGGTGTTGCGATGAATTCACGTGCGAATGTGAGAGGAAGAGCTGACTTGAAAAGATCCCACTTCTTGAAGTCCAATCCGTCAATTTATCTGAGTGTCTGCATCGTGAAAATAACGGAGGGCTTCGACGACAGAATAATGGGCTGATGCGATTCTTGAAATGATGTGTAAGTACAGAAGCAAAGAGAAACTGACAACACGACATTCTACAAAGGGAGTGTATAGTCTCGCGAATGACCTCTCCGTCTCATTTAGGTGCTTATCGTTCGTCGTCGAGCTTTGGCTCGGGTGTATGATCAGCAGGTTGAGGGGTTGGATCTGGAGGAGGACGTTTGTGTAGTTGTATTCATGTGTATCTTGTCTTTTGTGGGTGTGGAGCAGGGCGTTTGGAGGGAGCTAGGATGGGCACAGGTTCTCCGTTTACTTGATTTGATGACCTGTCACATTTAGTGAAAACCACAACAGGAACTTGACCACGAGGTGAGCGCTTGAACTTCGACCTAGTAGAGAGATAGCTATTGATCCACTCACTATTTCCCAGCTTTTCACCACGCTTCAATAAAAACCCTCCGTGCCTGTCTCAGGTTCAAAATTTTTGCTATGTCGTGGAGAACAAGTTTGTCGTTCTGTGGTAAGATAGACTCGGGGTCGATGTTAGTCTGACCTGGGAAGGGCCAGGTGAAATTGACGCGGCATATGTGACGCGGCACTGTAACAAATTCCTATGTACAGATCATGTTTACACAACTTCATATCGCATTCCAAACACTTTGAATCATCGTTAATGATCAACATATGAGTGTCTGCCTGCGTACAGGCTCTATAGTGCTGTATTCACCTCTCACCAAATTTACAGTGCTTGTCCTCTGCGTTCATACTACTAGTATGCATCTTGCGCGTCAGTCCTATATTGTTGCATTACCTCTAATTCGTTCATCTATGTTGGTTTTCAGATGCAGTGTCAAATGTTGTCTCACTGCGTCAAGCTTCGACCTCACCCTGCCAAGTTTGATCCCCTCTCTATACCCTGCACCAACACGTCGAGCCCCAACCATGGCATGTCAGAAGCCTCGTTTAGGCTGCGTCAAGCACTACTCACACCACGACAAGTTCTCCCAAATATCTTCGCAGTCTCTGTACTAATATCAACATCCACACTCTATGCCGCGTCAAGGCCTACTACAGTGCCGCGTCAACCATAGCACATACCGCGTCAGTTGCCGCGTCACATGCGCGTCAGTGCCGCTTCAAACCTCCTCCATGCCGCGTCACAGGCGCGTCACGCCGCGTCAAACCTCGTCACTGCCGCGTCACCCGCGCGTCACGCCGCGTCAAACTTCATTCATGCCGCGTCACAAGTAGCACATGCCGCGTCAGACCTCACCACCTCCACATGCCGCGTCAAACCTCACCACCTTCAACTGTCACACTGTCCGTATAACTTAGGTATATTTTACTTTACATCTGTCATAATAATTGATATTCTAACAGTGTTCCTTTTCATCCTGACAGAATTAGACGTCGTACACTGTAATTGTCCATAGGCAGTAATAAATTTATTTTACTGAGCATTCTTTCGTTGTCTCCTCTGGGCTCGAGAAACAACCCTTATTATCGCGCTTTTGTGAATCGTATCATGGCCTTTGTGAGTTCTTTAAAATACGGAGTAAACTTGTTATAATCATCTTTTAGCAATTAATCAAACATATATTCAACTTTTTCTATCCCAACGAGACAGAGAATCAAAATGATCCAGATCGGCCGGGTCCGCTGCCGAGTTTTGGGGACCTCATACCCTGCTATGACCGTTCAGGTGCGTCATCCGACATATTCTCCTTGTGAACTCAGATTTGACAAATAGAACAGGCAATGTAATAGCTTATCTTCCGGCCTCCGTGCAGACCACTCAGCCATCACATGACCCTGCACACTCCGTCCCAAATCCACCACCCCTCCCTCAACACATGAAACACCACTCACAGGAGTTATTCGAACTCTGCACGGACACAAAGTCTATACCACGCCTGCGTGCCCGAAGTGTTAGTCCCTCTGCAGCCCGAACAAATCAACGCCGTGGTCCGGATCAATCTTCCAATTCCCTACGTCCCAAATCTGGCGGTGGAGATGAGTTATGGGACCCATGGCCGGACGGTGACTTTGAAAGGTTATTAACATGGGAGGAGGTATTAAGAACTGACAATCTTAGTGAACATTGGGCTTGTCAGCCAGGAGGAGGAGACAAGAGGGGGTCAGAGTCAGCACTTGTGTGGTCGCAAGGTAAAAAGACGAGACGTGTTTGCCTGGGTGTCATTACTTGCGATGAACCTACCTGTGAGGTAGTCACACGTCCGCAGACCCGCCGGGCTGGTATCATGGGACAACTCAATGCATCGTGCCTTTGTGGTAGTCAGCTCAAGCACATCGACTGCGGTGTCACATCGATCACCTCCTGGTGATGTTGAGCAAGGAGATCTCGTGGATGAACTTTGGCAGGACTAAGCTAAGAGGCGTGAGATTCGCGTGAGTGACAGTGACTGGTTATACTCGCAGTCCTCTTGACACGAAGTATTGTGTAGCTCGGAGAAAGATGGCTTGGGCTGATCTCATGATAAGCTATCCTACCAATAGCTTCGTGGCTGATGTCGACCTCGAGTGTCTGACCGCACTAGAAGCAAGGATGTTCGAGGATTCCGAAGAAGCAGGACCTGCAGGCAACCAGCAGTGGGGTTTGGATGCTGGCCAACATCACAGGCGATGGAATGTGTATCTCGGAATTCCTGATGGATGGGTTTCTGCAAGAGATTATAGCGAGAGTGAACTTGAAGTGAGGAAGACATTACCTGCTCCGTTCGATAGATATCTAACTTATGTGATTGACAGCGCGGCCCCTTATTCAGTGATAACTCTGATGCTAAATCTTTGGAGTCTGCAGACGAGCTATCCGAAGCTGTAATTCCTTCTCTGCCGGCCGAAGAATGTCCGCCCGTTAAACGTCGATGTGGTCCACAGGCTCGAAGGGTCCAGAGAGGGAGGAAAAGAAAATAGTCATTGGCTTATGCATACCTAGTTGTACATGGCTCTGAGGCAACTAAAATAACAAAAGAATGGTCGTGAACTCATCCAACTTGATCTGGAAGTTGAATGTAGAATATAGGAATGGCGCGTCAGTGGCCGCGTCAAGGATCGTTAGTGCCGCGTCACATGCGCGTCACGCCGCGTCACGACCGCGGCAGGCGCGGCAGGCGCGGCAGGACCGCGTCAAAATAGCTACGCCCACCTGGGAATGAGCGGCTGCAACCTCGCGCCGTGAGATGATCGATGATTGCATCATCATATGGCCGTTGAAAAGCTCAAAGCACATTTAGTATGCTTCTAGGGCAGATTCATATTGATATACCTCTGCTTCAAGCTCGACGAGCCCAGTCAATAGCCTCCATGATGCGATTCGGAAATCTTTGAGTAGGATGCCTTGATGCCAGTCGGAAGTTCTCCACTGCGAGCAACAAATCAATGGGGTCGCGTAGAATCCGATAACGAGACACATAGGCCATCTGCAGCCGCATGTAGCTGAAATACCTGTCCGGGTGCAGTAAAGACAGAGCTGCCAACGACTCTTGGCAAAGAGTAATTATCCTGAGTCTGCTTGAAACGAGAGCAAAGCGCTGGACTCAAATTTGAAGAGTCACATAGCGCTCTGGGTTGACCGAAGACATTGATGATATAAATCGATGGTCTCGTTAAGATCCTCGTTGACATGTGATATGTCTCTGTTGAAGCGCGAGGGCAAGGTTGTTAAGAGTGCTGTCACGAATTGGATGCCCAGCTGGACGCAATGACAGTGCCTCGCGAATCGCGATGGAATTGCTTCATTCCAAGTCATTGGTAAAAAAAGTACAGCCACCCGGATCCCGGGCCTGCCTTAGAGTTACGTCTAATTCTGATGATGCTCTTCTAGAAGATCAAGCAATTAGCATACAAAGTACCATTAAGCCTCGGAATCCCCTTCTGGACTGCAAGCGAATGGCATTTACTACCGGCACCTGGGCATCGCTAAAACTCTTCAAGTTGCTGTGTCCGATTGGAGCTGCGGCGCGGGACAAGTTCGTTCATCACAGAGTTACCACGCCATGGTATGTCAAGGTCATTATCATTTTCTGATGAGCGCTCAGTTGCAAAGCCGCATGCTTCCAATTGCTTCCATTACCACCGTGACTACTACATGACACTGATGTGCCGAATTCTTTTCAGACAGCGTAACTACCACATAAAGTATTCCCAGACTCACCTTGCGATAACGCGTCCGCTGGATATCTTCGAACACTGCCCTGCCACAGCAGAAACCGAATATAGAATTACGTCCAGTGCTCTGACTCACTTGACAGTTAGCACCTTTTTTCTCCACTGGTCTGCCTACAGCTCACAGTACTAGATAGTCACACGTCGCTGGTATGCTTACGGCCGCGCTACTGACCCTCAGTCTTCAGAAAGCGTATGGGAAAGATAATTGGAACACTCTAGCTGATAATTTGCAGGCCTTGCAAGATGCACAACCCGCATCTGTCGTTTGCACAGCAAGCAAGTGCTTTTTCCCACTTCCGTTTTGTGCAGCTGGGCTCTAGAGGTAATGCTCGCTAGCAATTAGGTCTGTCTTGCATCGCTGCTTGTCACCCGCTGTTAGTTATCAAGTAAAATGCTTCTGCCACTAGTACTGATCCACAACCTCTGCGCAATTTTCTCAATCTGTTCCTCGAAGGCAGTGATCGCTGGTGTCAGGTGAGTTCCTGAATTGTGATGTGACAGGCACTTAAAGGCGTTTGGGTTGTCAATGGGCTCATTCTTCAGACTCACAGTCGTCTTATCTGTGCTGGGAACTTCCCATGGCTTTCAATCAAGCGTTTTCACTGAACGTCAGCTGAAACAAGTAACGTCGGGTTCCTGGTGGACGGTTTCAGAACAAGCGCTGAACTAACTATATGCATGCAGGGCCTGGAACAGCTTCTTGGCAAGGAAATCGTCAAGAGGACAGTCTTATCCCCTCCTTCGGCACTTCTGAATGGCTATTAAACACGCACCGATAAATCGACATAAAAACTCTCTTAAGTGCGCTCCACCCAAATGTCAACTTTGCTCATGCGCAATACAAATAGTGAGTTCAATAGCCCGTAATGACTTATACTCACTATTCCCTCAGAGATCCGACTTTTCTTGCTGCTGCTCCCATTTCTTGAAGGGGCATACGCCAGCGACATCAATATTGCCGGCTGCTTCCTCAATTTCAGGTCGAATGCGAACCAGAGCCTTGATCCATCTGGATTGGTGAATGGTAATGGCGGAAATGTCTCATCATCGGACATTATGAGCGCAGTTGGATTTACGTACCAGACGTGTCTCTCGCAATGCGGCTCTGGAACACAGAATCCTACCTGGTCAAACATATCGCAGCAGTTTGGCGCCTGGCTATTACCTTACCTTGCGCTCATTTCTCAGCTGCCTTTCGGTGCAAGACATAGAGTTGACAATCTCATGTCTGCCATCCTCACAGTTGGATCACCGGTTCTCGCTGGCTACTCAATGATTCTCACCATTCTCAATGCCAACTGGATCAGTCGTCGCTTCGAAGACCTATCCTTTCCTAACACTAAAGACGCCGTCCGTATCCTCATAAGCCTTCAACAAAGTCCACTAAGAATAACAAACGAAGACTCGCTGCTGAGCTCTCTCGTCGTCCTGCCACAGAATGATGAATGGTGGCCGAGCATTGCCGGTTTTCTCGACTACACTCATACCTGGTCCATCGCATCTGTCACATCCATTGCGTGGGTTGTTATCGCCTACCTCCTGACAGTCGCCAGCTCACTATCCGACGTCTCCTCCAATATCAATTCCAACGGTCAAGGGACGGGATCGGTGTGGTTGTGGCTTATCCCAATCGTCATAGGTTGGCTGCAACTGTCCCCGAAGTGCGATTATGCACGCGTTAGTAAGGCCATGGATAACGCGGATGCAATGGCATTTGTGGCCACCGATCATGGAGTTGTTATAAAGGCTTCCGATCTTTCGGAAAGGCGAGCAGTATCCATTGATACTGATACAGAAAATTCTTCGTCTAACGACGAAATGTTGACTCCGCCCGTCTATAACTATGCCAGGGCCATTTCATGGTCTCGGTCTGCGGAGGATGTCTTCAATGCTTTTCGAATAGCCTCCAACAATGCCAAATTACACAGACCGGTCATGATTAGTACTACATGGATGAACTCGAATAGGAGGAACTTTATTGAGCCCGGCAACAGGAAGGGCAACGCATCCGAAGTCAATGCTTATTGCAGACTTCCTCAATACACGGTACGCAGCCCCTGGGCGACAGATATGTTCTTTCGCATGTTTGTGGCCTCGCTGCTGCCCCTAGCTTTACAATGGGCAACAACTGGATCTGCGGTAATAGTTGTGTATCTAACTCCAACTGTGGTAAGCACTATTTGACATGAGCTTATCTGCGTCTGTTGCTGATTAGCGGCACACGCAAGGGCCTTGGTTGTAGATCTCTCGGTTACCTCATCTATGGTGCACTTGCAACGGTAGTGTGGGCTATGCTCGTTATGTCGAGCATCCTGTCGCACTACGCATTTTCGTACTCGGACAGACCCAGGAGTCCTTTCTCATCTACCACCCTCAGGCTCGTAAAGCTAGCATCGAACCTTTTGAGATGGGGAGGGAAGTTGGTGGCAATCGTCAATGCAATTTGGATAATCGCGGCGGGGATGCTGCAGTTTACAGATATCTATGATAATTGTTATTGCAACTCAAGTGTGTTGGGGAGAGGGGCCCAATATGCTTATGATATTGTCTTGCTCGATGGTGTAAACTTAGCCCCAACCAAAGCTGCTTGGTTCGGAGCGTTGGCTTTGGCCGGGTCTACCTCTTTGGGATTCATTTTTTACATGAGTTTATTGACTGATCTCGTGCCTATATGAGGTCTCCGAGAATAGCATACTATACTATACTTCCGGTTCCTTAGTTATATTATAATTGCGCATGTGTTGTGTGTCCAGATCTCGAGCTCCAGTGCACCCTCGCAAAGTACTGAACCGCAGCATCGGCCACGTGTACCCACACAATGAGGCAAGGAGCGTGAATTCTAGATGACGAAGGGTGGTACATCGGGAAGTGAAGCATCAATGAAAACCGCTCAGATCCCTAATCTTTATAGGAAAATGCATGGACCCAGAGCGCACCTGTCTTAATGATTACGATATAACGCGAGCAAAAATATATGAAGCGTCACCAGCAGTCGAAGGTCGAAAAATGCGCTGGGCCCAGTCGATAACCACAAACCGAATTGTAACATCTCGAAAAAACGCCAGTATAAGATGACATCTACCTCAGTGTTACAAAGTAAACAGCTCTGTATGTAGAGCAATCCCGCCCACATCCATACCCATTGTCAAACCCAATCTCGCAACTGCATTCTGCGCGTCTCTCATCAAGTTCTCTGGGCCGCTAGCGCAGACTGCTACTCCACCACCCAAGCCCATCAATTTCTGGCTTTCGTCACATCGGGTTTTGATGCAATCTTTTTTGTCAGACGATGGCGAAAGACCGATGAAGTCCTTGAGAAGATCCTGAACAGACGGACGCGAGAGTGTGACAATGGAGTTAGAGATATGAGGTACCGCTTCTGGATCGCAAAGGCACGTCACGTTAGTTATGAGAAGCCACTGTCTCTGACCTGCGTAGGAGTCGACGAACGGCTCGGAGGGGACAGATTATGGCAATCAACGGGGAAGACGACTTCCTGCTGAGAGTAGGGGGGATAACCAAGATGGGTTTGCTCTCGTCTAATGCGAAAAGGCTTGCTAGGTCTGGGCTTGACGGAATGTGGTAGATCACGCCATCCTCCTTCTTGAAGCGTCGGAGAGTAGTACCCTTCGCACGCAGACTACTGTCTAACGTTGTGGAGTACTTACCGATCGCTGTTTCAGTGGCGAGCTTCGCTTATCGCGCAGGGACAGCCTATAACTAGGTTAGGTGCGCGGATGTGACTTCCGCGTGAAGGTCTATATGATAGCTAGGTTCATACCCGAGCGTCACATGTCAAAAGTCGCCGTAGAAGAGACGTCAACACACGGCCCTGCCAGTGATGACATTTCCTTTGTTTTTGGATTTGGAAGGCGTATTTGGTATGAAGTTTAGAGTTTTGCGAATGTCTCACCTCTCAGCAGCGTTGGACGACATGTTGCCAATGCTTCTTTATTCACCACAGTTGTGAATATTCCGACTGTTTTCCGGTTGGAACGTGCGCCAGGATGGAATGTCGGGCCTGATGCTGAAGGAGTGAAATGGACCGGAGGCTTGACGACGTGAGTCATCTTCGAGAATCCCTGTATTTTATCTGAGGCAGCCGATGCAGGCACCCTGTATTCCCGTGTATATTCACCCCTCGCCGCACGAAGGAAAGAGTATCGCAGTTGATAAAAATGCAATCCTAAGAGCTGTGCGGATATGGTTCTGGGGCGAAATCATGTATTACCCTTGTTTTTAGTGACGTTGGCTTTCGTTATCCGTCAGCATATTCAAGTTTGCTCCGGATTTGTTACGTGACATGGGAAGACCTGCCCAATAGAGGTTAAATGTAAGGCGAGTCCGTTGCATCCTGTGCACACCAGGATCTTGGAAGTCTGTTGGATGGAGAAGTGATATTGCAGTAAGCTATATACATGCGTTCGAAGGAGTGACGTGGTGATAGGCTGGAGTAGCTGCTAGATACAATACAACGGTATTCATGCAGGATAGACAGTCAGATTCGAGCGCTGGAAAGCACGGACTGCTTGACTTGATGCGATGGGATATATTCTGGAAGCTGTGAAGACAAGAGTCGGACGCATGTATGCACTGCAGATATACATACTGCCAAGGACAGCGTAGGGTGAGTGCATTCCGGTGATGGAGGCGTGGGCACGAACAGCCTTAGATATCCTGGGCATCTATTGAAATGAGGCAAGCTGTGAAGCTTGTGAAGCACCATAAGACGCACCATACACCCTCTGCAGCTTAAAGAAAGACATAATCCCTCCAAAGTTTAGCCTCGTCCGTATTCCATATGATCAACATCCAGTAAAATGTCAGAGCTTATTACAATCACAACTCCCCTGCGATGGTTCAATGGCCACGAAGAATGCATAACTGCAGTCGCAGTTTTCTCCGATAAACATTGGATGGTTACGGGCTCGTACGACACAACGCTTCGTCTGTGGCACTTGAAGACAGGCGTTGCGTTGAAGAAGATGGAGGGGCATCGCCATCGGGTGTGGAGATTGGCGGTATCACGAGATGGGCAATTGATAGCAAGCCGTGATAAAGGCAAGGTCATCATCTGGCACGGAGAAACTGGCGAATTACTCACCAAAATCGAAGCACACTCCAATTGGATCTCCTCGTTAGATTTTTCTCCCGATGGAACAGTGCTGGCCACTGGTTCATATTTCGAAACAATGACAAAACTGTGGAATACCAAAACCTACCAAAACCTGGGTGCTGCAAGGAGATCCGATCGTGTGCCATGCATTTATCAAATGTGTATGGTATTCACCGTCTGGAGAACTTCTTGCCATCGCATTGATCGCAACAAATGAGGATGTTCAAATTTACAATTCAGGCACTAGGAAACGCGTCACATCATTCAAGGGTCACAAATCATACAACTTGTCACTCGCGTGGACGCCCGATGGCGCATGCCTTCTCACAGGCGGCAATAGGGAAGATCCTACTATACACGAATGGGATACAATAACAGGTCGGTGATTTTTGGACAAGCCACACTAATCATATCAATTCCATTGTCATTCATCCTGCTGGCACACTCATCACATCCGCATCTAGTGACAGCCATGTTCGTCTCTGGCAGCTCTCAGACTGACAAACCATTACCGTCTTCAAGCACTCGTCTATCACGGAATGCATCACTTTCTCCGTAGACGGCAATCACATCTTCAGTGGAGGTAACGATGACTCGGAGATGATCTCGGAGTGGACAGTACCTCAGCGTACACATCCAAAGGCATGTTTCCGTTCCTGACTCATATACCATAAATCGAGCATGCTTCTTGCAGACTATTGCCACCGCAACAGTCCTCGATGCATACATAGATGGAGACTTATCTACTGACAAAGAACTGCTCATGCAAGATATTAATACCGATCCGAACAACCATACTCCCAACGTCCATCGCTCAAAGGCATGTTTCCGTTGTTGACTCATATATACCACAATTAGAGCATGTTTCCTGCAGATCCTAGCCATCACGACCTCCTGTATTGCATGTGTAAACGGAGACTTATCTACCGCCGAAGAACTACTCACTCAAGATATCAACGCCAGTCCAAACGTCCATACTTCCATATTTCCTACGCCCATCGGTCATTCATCATAGAGCGAAAATAAGACTGGGATCGCGCCCTTCTGGACGCAATCAAGGTGAGAATTATCGCCATCGCCGCCTTATACAGGGCTAACTTGACGGTGACATAGTCCATCAGGATTCAGTCCTCATTGATGGACTATACTGTCTCCAAGGGGATTTCCCTCTGTGGAAAAACCCGCGTCCTGGATGCAAGGGCAGCATTTGATGTTGCATCCATGTACACGAACCAGGATTCAGAAATGGTTCATTTTCTGCTATTGATCAAGGTATGGTATGCAAGGATGCGAGTCACTTCTCCGGTGACAGTTTGCATTGTCCTGTCTGTTCAGCGAAGCAGACATCGTGCAACATGTGCAAGGTCATCTCCTGCTCCAATGATGACTGTGAAGTCTCTTCCGCTATTCCTATCGTACAGCGTTCGAATCATCACAACTCGAAATTATGTACCTCGCGTTTGGAGCGTCCAGGCTCTTTGCCGCATCTGGGCAAGCGTCCCATGTGCGCACGCTGGTTCTGTTCAACAGAACTTCAATGGTGTATCGGGCGTCCAATTTATAATGACAGAACCGGACTTTCCCCACCAAATATTGATGTAACCCGATTACACTCGGCGCGTCCCTTGTCTTGCCGGACTACCGCTTGTATGGATAAGAGCCGCGAGAGCGGAAAGAATGGGCGTCGCTGCCGGAATGCTCGCTATTGGTCTCGGGTAGGCACCGCAACGTGCCCTGATTGTGTCACACAGGATAGTTTCACCTGTCTCTGCGGTCGATACTGGACTTGCGGTGGCTGCGAGTCACAGACTGCTTCCACTGGTGGGTTTATCACATGCCCCGGGTGCCACCGGCGTTTCTGTTCATCGTCGTGCTCATACATCGGGACCTGCGAGCTTTGCAATCATGTGGAGCCCTGTTACGACTGCATCAGGGACGGAAAGACCCTAGCGGAGGAGCACACCATGTTTATGTGCCAGGGCTGCAAAGGTCTCCTGTGCGAGACATGCTCTGATCTTGACGAGAAAACATGCTGCAGATGTGATCAGAGCATTTGTAAGCTTGGTGCACACGAAGAAGACGACAGCGATTATCCTAATATAGTCTGTGACCAGTGCAGAGCTTCGAGTGATGATGAAGATATGGCTTACGGCTATTACTTTTAATGCGGCGCATCGTTCACGAACTATCTTGTATTATAATCTGTGTCTAATGTTACTGTAAATCTCGCTAGCACCTCATACCCGCGGAAGGAATTCAACCAGTACAGTTGAACACCACGACCTTTAATTTACAACTTTTCTAATGGCCAGACAATTCAAGTTCGTGAGCTCAAGGTGTGACTCATGTGGTCCATCACGACTCGATGAGCCAACTGAAGTGCAGGAACATGTAAGATCTACGTGTGACGGAAATCACATCGAGGGTGTACTAACGATATACAGTATCACGTACGATCCAAGAGGAACGGGCAGAACAAAAGCAGTCTCGAAACGAACACGAAATCAGTGAGGGGCAGCGGAAATTATCATCAAGTGTGGTGTATATGTGGGGAGGCTATGCTGAGGATAGCAAGGCAGGCATCCCACAAAAGAGTGTCTTGCGAGGAAGGGGGTCTGCCAGTTGCGGCATGAACGCCTGTAACCCTAGACTGCAAGGTTGTTGGGGCGGCTTCTCCAACGATACTGTATGTTCCTGCTGGTGGCGTGTTAGAGATGTCAGATTGTTATACCTTTATTCAATGGCGGTGCGATGCCTAGAATATCATCAACATGGGTCCCGAGTTGGGAAATACATGTACCTTGAATTGCGAAGATGTCCACGATTACTTCAACTTATCCCTCCAAATAAGCATGCGCTGCCAGTGCAATGTAAGCTTGTGACCAACCTGGCTGCTTGTACACCACGGACAAATCGAGTGGCGAAGCCCTTCTGAACTGTAACATCAAAAATGTTAGTCCGAACTGATTACGAGCCCAAGCGCAATGTACACGTGGGATTGATGTAGGGTTAAAATCGGGATTCGAAACGTGTATGTTTGATCATCATTCGAAGATTCAAAATGCCTCAGGCCTCCTGGCAAGAACCCTCTGACTTTGCGGCAGTGGCGGCGCAATGAGGATGCAACGAGGTGGTGAATTTCCAGCTGACCGGCCCAAAATTTCCACAACCATAGCATTGCAAGGTTCGTGAGTGCCGGTGAAAGGTGATTATTGTTGTCCCGAGCCGCGTGCCCTTCAGCATCGATGAGTACAAGATGGGAAGGCGCTGGATTATGTAACTCGTATAGTTTCGAAAATTGAAATGCCGCAATGACCTCGAGGCATGCATGCCAACTTGCCATTAAATACTAATCAATCCATCACTGAGCGCAAGCTCCAGGCTTCTACGCTGTACAAATTTGTCAAGATTAAAAAGAAAGTTCAAACTCGAGTCAAATCAACTAGAGTCCTTGAATAACACATTGCCAACCCACCGTGACTGAAGTGCTGATACTTAGGTTCACACCGGAAACAGAGTATCGTTGGGCGTCGTGCTTTGATGTCCTGTTTCAGGTGCGTATATATAGTGTGTTTGCTTCGAATTTCCTCGACCTCATGATATAAATCAGGAACGTCTTTCTCCCTTCTATTAAGGTTTGACCAGGGGAGATTAGGACCTCACCCTGAACCCACTCTACAACGAGGTGTTGAATCTCCAGCCAACTAGTTCCCAACTTGCGTAACCATATAAGTTCCGAGCGTCTTTCTACCGGTCTAGCAGTCCATCTTTCACCTCTTGCAGTGATATGTACCTCGCTGTGAGCTAGTCAGGCGTAATGCAACAAACAATCTATGACATGCAACATCTCTAACGGTCTGATTTGGTGTTTGATCTTACGCCGTGACGGAGCTCAACTTACTTTGCACCTTAAAACGTTCAACACGAACTAAGTCTATATCAACTCGCAGTTCCAAAGTTTTTTTCATCATATCATTCGAAATGTCGCATTCATATCGCGATGTTTTCCAGACCTTTCCCGCCTATCGGAAGGGATCGCCTCCAGTTACGTCTGATGCTGACCGTTCTCTCGAGTTCCCTCGCAGAAATGGCTCTCAGTACAGACCGAAGTTGAAATGCCAATCGGCATCCCAAGCAATCGATGTCAGATCAGATGGTGACAAGGAAACTTCATCGCTGCCTCTAGTTTGGGTGAGTGATCATCTACGTTCTATCTGGCGGACAAAATCAAACAATGGCACAGGTTGAAGTCCGAGACAACGTTATCCCGCCTCACGCTGTTCCATTGCATTGGACGGTCACGGACCTCTTTTCATAGCCCGAGCTTATCTAGAAGTAAGTCTTCTCATGCAAATGCTCCATCATTTGTGACTTATGAGTGCAGGGAGCATTTTGTAAGTCAGCTCCATCAGGCATCGATTTTGCTCATTCATGTCACCCGCAACATTCCTGGGCAAGGCTGGTCCTCAGCTCACTAGCGGTGCTATCATTAGCTACGGAAGTTTGGAAATAACGGTAGTGACCACAACTTTTGAGGTCGTAATTTTGCTGAGCTTATGACCTAGGAGACCCGGTATGATGTACTCGTGTGCGCCGGACGGCTGAGTTGGGAGATCCCGTATTCTTCTGGGACAAGCTTCATGCGCCAGGACGCCGTCATCTCAAAATATCACATCAATCACGGTCTTGAACAAGCTCTCACGTATCATCAGGATATTCCTGAAAACGCCTATAATTCAGCAGATAATCACAACAAGGTCGATAACAACCAGCGTTCGGCAACTCCCGATCCCGACCCCGCCATCGTAGCATCGCATACTAGGGCCCGCAGCTACTCTACGCATGGCCTTTCGTCAAAAGAATCTCTAGATGTTGACATATTGAAAGCTCGCGACACTTTCGTTCCCCTGAAATCTCCTCTTGAGCTAACGGAGCAGTCACGATCACTCCCTCCCCGGGCAAGACGTTTAGCTGAGTCAAGCTTTGATGCTAGGGCGGAACTGGGTACTATCTATCTGTTTCTGGGTTTAGGGGGGTGTAAACCGTCCCCGTCCCTGCTCCTTCCTTATATGGGGCGTCCCTGCTTCCTTTTTTCCCATCTGCCGCTTTTTTGGTCGGAAATGGTAATCCCTTACCTCACACCTTCCGTTTTTCATTTAAGATGTATGTAACCGTCCCTGCGTCCCTGCTTCCTTTTATTCCCACGGGGCGCAACCATCCCTGCGTCCCTGCTCTCAAAAGGCAACCGTCCCTGCGTCCCTGTTCTTAAAAGGCAACCGTCCCTGCTCTCAAAAGGAAACCATCCCTGCGTCCCTGCTCTGAAAAGGCAACCGTCCCTGCTCTCAAAAGGAAACCATCCCTCGTGTCAAATGCAAGGTAACCATCATTTCAGTTCGTATCAATACTGACCAGCAGTGGGATGCTCCAATTCCAAAGACGTCACTGCTGGTATTTGCTGAGCCTTCCCTGTCTCCAGCTGGCTTCAGGTAGTATCTCTGAATAATGATTTAAACCGTCTCATACATACACACTTGTAGACTACCGACTACATATCTAAGAGAGTGGCAAAATGCAAAATATAAAGTGTGAAGCTGAAAGGAGGAGTCAGAGCTCAAAAGAAAGGCCAAGTGCGAAAATAAAACAAGAAATGAGACCTAGAGAGATGTGAAATGTGAAGATGACATGAGGAATGACGTCAAAAGACAGAATGACATCAAAAGACAATAAAACAGGAAAATAAAAGAAGGAATTAGAGCAAGAAAGAGCAAGAGATGCGAAAATGCGAAATATATAAGTGTGAAACTGAAAGGAGGGACGAGAGTCACTTAGAAAGGCCAACATGTGAAAATAAAACAAGAAATGAGAGCTAGAGAGAGGTACGATGTGAAAATGACAGGAGGAATGATATCAAAAGGAAATACAACAGGAAAATAAAAGAAGGAATGAGAGCTAGAGAGATGGGATAAACTGTAAAAATGACAAGGAGGAATGAGACAACATGAAAGACAAAATGCGTAAATAGAAGGAGGAATAGAGCAAGAAAGAGGCGTTGGTTTTCTTTTCTTATTGTTCGTGTCGGTTTCGGTAGTACATGTCCTTGTTGATCTGCTTGTCTTGTTTTTGATGTCATTTTTGGTAGTACATGTCTTTGTTGGTCAGCTCTTCATTTTCTTTGTGTATTTTGGCAGTACGTGTTGATTTTCATCCACTAGTGTCGTTTATGTTGTCATTCTTGGTAGTGCATGTCCTTGCTGGTCTGCCAGCCTCATTTTTTGGTGCATTTCGTGTGGTGCCACTCCCTCTAGCCTGTAATGGCAGAGTATTCTTGAGCTGTAATGCTTGGGAGAAGGGGCTACTGATTTTCGCTTCTGCTGTGTTTTGGTTCTGGAGGATATATGTAGTGCATATCCTATCTATATTTCAATACTAAGTACACTAGCTCGGTCACAACTCACAGGGACATGCACATGATGCACGTACTACAAAAACTCATCTGGCATCCATACCAGCGCCTGGTCGGTCATTCCTCAAATCTGGAGTCTACTCGCATTTCAGACATCTCCTAGATAACATGGATCTCGTACCTCCAATTTGATATGTCCATTTCCAATAGTTTCTTACCTTGCTTATTTTTGACTTTTCTCGAGCAATAAGCGAATTTGAAGATTCAGATGAGTATGTGGAGTAGTATCTGCATGTCATCGTGTGTTTTGAATGAGTCAGGGTGCTTGTTATTGAATGAGAAACTACTTTCCTTGAAAAAAGAAAGTGGCCTGAAAATAAGCAAGATAAGAAACTATTGGAAATGGACAAATCAAATTGGAGGTACAAGATCCATGGTATCTAGGAGATTTCTGAAATGCGAGTAGACTCCGGATTTGAGGAATAACCGACTTGATGCTTGTATAGATTATAGGGCCTTTTTCTATATATGTTAGGGTTAGCTATGGGTTTTTTTAAGGCTTAATAAATGATGATGCCTCTACTGGAACTGTTCCAGTGGAGGCTAGTTAGGTGAAGTTAGTAGTTAGTTTAGTTCGTTAGGTTGCCTCCACTGGAACGCTTCCAGTGGAGGTTGGTTTGGTTTGATTAGTTAGATGCCTCCACTGGAACTGTTCCAGTGGAGGTTAGTTTGGTTGTCAGAATGAATGCCTCCACTGGAACTGTTCCAGTGGAGGTTAGTTTGGTTGTCAGAATGCCTCCACTGAAACTGTTCCAGTGAAGGTTAGTTTGATTGTCAGAATGCCTCCACTGGAACTGTTCCAGTGGAGGTTAGTTTGGTTGTCAGGATGTCTTCACTGGAACAGTTCCAGTGGAGCGTTAATTTCATTGTCAGAATGCCTTCACTGGAACAGTTCCAGTGGAGCATTAGTTTGGTTGTCAGAATGTCTTTACTGGAACAGTTCTAGTGGAGCATTAGTTTCGTTGTCAGAATGCCTCCACCGGAACAGTTCCAGTGGTTAGTTAGTTTGGTTGTCAGAATTCCTCCACTAGAAGGTTAGTTTGGTTGTCAGAATGCCTTCACTAGAACAGTTCCAGTGGAGCGTTAGTTTGGTTGTCAGAATGCCTCCACTGGAACTGTTCCAGTGGAGGTTAGTTTGGTTGTCAGAATGTCTTCAGTAGAACAGTTAGGGTTAGTTAGTTAGAGTTGTCAGAATGCCTCCACTGGAACAGTTCCAGTGGAGGTTAGTTTGGTTGTCAGAATGCCTTCACTAGAACAGTTTCAGTGGAGCGTTAGGGTGGATTAGTTAGGGTTAGTTTAGTTGGATTCATTGATACCTCCAAAGGTTCAGACATTTGAAGGTTAGTTCAGTTAGTTATTTATATTCTAGAATAACTTGCAAAGGAAGATGAGAAAATTATGTGTTAGCTACAACGTGAACTTAGAGAAGGTCATAAGTATCAAATAGACTATGAAAATAATGTGACTACTGTGTTGGGTGTCAGGGTACTCGGAGCATTGGAGTTAGCATTTGTCAGTATTTTGCATTTCATGGTTCATGTTTCGTGGTTAACGAATCAGGCGTCAGGGACTCACTATTCAGAACAGTGTTGAGTCCCAGGTCATGAGCTCCGAGTCCCGAGTCCCGAAACCCACACTCAGCAGTTGCCGAGCTCCGAGTCGCCGAACCCCGACCTCCGAAATTTGGGACTCGGGACCTGGGCATCCGGGACTCGGATGTGAGATTTTTGAATGCATAGAATATGTTACATCTTGTATACAATGAAGACTGAATGGGACTACACTCCTTTTCCTTTCCTCAATTTCTCTAACATGTCAGTGTACATCTTCACCTCTCCCATCTTAGCTTCGATGCCCTGATCTTGCTCCTCCAGCAATGCTTCCATGTGTTCTTTGATGAACCTCAGTCCCATGAGTGGTGGAGTCAAAGTGTTTTTCAACTTCTCTGGAAGTACCAAAGCATCATCCTCAACATTAAGCTGAAACAGATAAGTCATCAATCAAGGTAATTCAGCTGACATCTTACCGCCCAATACTGGTAGTGAGAGACGCAGGAAGCCATTATTTCATCCCACTGCCATGGTTGATCAGGGATTGTGGTGTTTCCCATCCACCATGGACATGTATATGTGAACACAATCCGGGACGGATGTCCTGCAATTGGCTCATCATGAAATGAAAGGAGGTGGAATGAAAAGACGTTGTCCGGAACCGTGTTCCAGGTGAGCATGGGATAAAACTTAAGGATATAAGCGACAGGGACCAGAAGAACCGACACAATATTCTGTGAAGCGGAGTACTGCAGGAGTGGTGTGACAAATATCTGCTCAAATTCTTAGCATTGACCAACAGAGTCATCAGGGCAGTGGTAACATACATTCATCTCCCATTGCAGCCCGGCTTTAAAATACTTGATCCGGTCAGCAGTTAGACCATTGTTGGCAGCTTCCGTCCGATATTGAGAGATGCATGCATGGACGCGCGATCCAGCCATTGCCAATGTGCAGCAAATAGTTGCAAGGCTCAGCTTCAGAGGTCGTTAATGGCTGCCGGCATTCAGAGTGCCAGAAGTGGATGCATGAGATGCAGACATGGCTAATACAGGACTATGGCGCTGGCAATACAAGTGAAAGATGGTGAAGATGTGAAGATAAGAATCACTGATGGATGGATACAAAATTCAAACTCCGACATGGGCTGACCCGGACAATTCCCGGGCCTCAATTATGTATGTGGAAAAAGGGACTTCATGAGAAAACAATGTTCATTCATCTCCAGCCTCTATCAACACATTTTGTAGGTCTTGAAAAGCTGCCTGCGCATCCTGTGCCAGCGATGAATACATTTGGGATTGCCTTCCGGCGTAGCATCCGTGACCCGGAAGTCGTTTCTCCAATGATTCCTGCATGTGCTCGCCCCATATGGTTGTTTTTCAAATGCAATCCTGCATCTCTGGGATCCCCGCCCAAACGGACCCGAGGGAAGTCTACCACCAGCCAGACGCATTCCAAGACACCTGCCCCTGCTCCATCCAATGCTCCATCTCCCTCCCAGTCAAGGGCCTGAACTCGTAGTTAATCTCGTGGCCCTTCCCGAACTCCGGCCATCCCTGCTGCAACCACACCCCAGGTGCAGTCACGTGGTCGCAGCAAGACCATCACTACCAAGAAGACACCTGTTCCTGCACCTGTCCCTGCACCTGTCCCTGCACCTGCGCCAGCTGGTAAGTCACCCATACTTTTGATGACCAGCTGACCTAATTTTTTACTTAGCAGTCAGGTCTTCCAGCATCGCAGTGCCTCGTGCAGCACTCGATGTTCCCATGCCGGATCTCCATTCCATGGCAATTGCGATTCGGGATGGTGCAGCTCGCATCGCTATTCTTGAGGCTCGGGTGCAGGAGCAGGACGCTAAGATTGATACCCTGCAACGCCTCCATGAGAGCCTCCGGCGCACAGTGGTTGACTGGCACCCTTCATTTTCACTTCCGGACACACTGGCCGATGGAATAATGTTGCTTGGTCAAGGAGGTCCCCCCCCGTCCATGTCACCCCTCCCCTCCGCACTTTCCAACCTCATTGATTTGGACTTTTAGTCTTGCAACCTACACCCTTGACGCCTGAGCATGAATCTGCTGTGGTAGGTCCCATGGTTGAGCCCACCCAAGTTCAGCCTGAGGGTCCACAATCCTCTGGTGAAATTGATCTCCCTGATGAACCAGGCAACCTCCTGCCAGAATCCCAGAGTGCCGGGTCTCGGGTATCGGGTGTCCGGAACTCGGAACTAGGTATGTCTAAACAAAAATATATTGCAAACATGGGTAAGTCAATGTGTTGTCAATCTACTCAATTGTAAATTAAATTGTATTGATCTCCCCAAATTCTCCCAAGTTCCGAGTTCCGGACACCCGATACCCGAGACCCGGCACTCTCAGGTTTCGGGGTTCGGGGGTTGGTACATCTCGGTTTGGGGTTTGGCACTGAAAATTTGACATATATATTTTTGTGAGTGTTGTGCTTCTGGTGTCCATGCTTAGAAATAGGATTTGTTGCACACCAGGGTTCAGGTGTGGGGTTTTTCCACTTCAGTCCTGGATTATTGGTCAATGCCACACATGATAGATTCATGTTTTTGTGCTTAGGGGTTTAGATTTGGTGGTTGATGGTAGGTATATGCACTGATAGTGTACATGTATCCTATGTGTTTGATTCGCTGGTGGCTACATCAGCTGTATGTCTTGATGGAACATATCTAGGCTCACCCATATATGTAATACACCCCCGTCGGCCCGCCCGTCTATGTATTATCCCCCACGTCGGCCGACCCGTCTATGTGATACATCCTATGTTGGCCCACCCGTCTATATAATACATCCTACATCGGCCCATTCGTCTATATAATTATACCCCACCTCGGCCCACCTGTCTATGTAATAAATATTTTATAGCACCCTCGGCCCACCGGTCTATTTGATATCCCTTTCATCGGCCCACCCGTATATGTAATACATTCCACGTCGGCCCACCTGTATATGTAATACACCCTACGTCAGCCCACCCGTCTATGTAATATTCCCCTACCTCGGCCCACCCATATATGTAATACACCCACGTCGGCCCGCCCAGTCTATATAACAATATTTGCCTTACATCTCTCTTCAGCCCAGCTGTCTATAATATCCTACTCTACATATTACCCAGATGGGCCCACCCATCTCCATGAATGATCATATTCCCCTGGCCCATCCGTCAACATTAAGGATATATATATCATTGGCATACATGGGCCCACCCGTCTCCATCGGAAATAATATGAGTCCCGGCCCATCCGTCATCATCGAGAATATACACAACATGGGCCCATGATCAGCTGGCCCGTCTCATACGGGATATTATGGAGGTCGGGTGGCCCGTATAATACGGAATTTGTCACTGAAGGGGCTCGCCAACCTTACTTTTCGTAGTTGCAGGCTGTGACAATGCAAGTGACTGATTGAGCTCATTGTAGCGTTGTTTGAAGATGTTCTCGGCACAAGCAAGCACGTCATCGAGCAAATCCGATGGCCAGTGCTTTTTGAAGTATGCGAGTTTGGCTGTCGGATCAAGTACTAGTATGGTAGAGTATGTTAGAGTCAGAATGATTGGAATAGAAAACGACAAACACATGGCAATAACATAGGCAGCAGTGTCTGTAGTTTTCTCATAATATTCATCTAACTTCTCTGCTGCTGCCTTGAGTGCACCGGCAAACCGAATATACTTGGGCCTTTCTGCTCATGAAGACCATGATTTGTGAAGCGTCTCCAGTGCAGGAATTGCAAGATGGAGAGTTGATCCTCGATCAGACAAGAAAGCTTGCTGTGCCACGTCAGCATATGAAAGAAGGTCCGTGAACTGGCCAACCCGTGTCCACTCAGCAGACGTCAATTGCAGAAAGTCGATTTTGGCACGCTTTGATATATTTTGCTCTTGGCGTCCCATTTCATACACGAACATATTGACATGCTGTAATCGCAAGTCAGAGTAAGAACAAAAAGATGTGGTGGTGTATCATACCTGCTTGTTGCAATCGGCACGATTAAGCATAATGTAAGTCGAAGACCAGCGGACCTTCATATCAATTAGTAGTTGTGTTGGAAAAGAGACACCTGCTTTCGTCTGAACAGTTCTATATAGCTCTTTCCGTTTCGCCGAGGAACGTTCTTTGACACAGATACTGCGGACCAGACCAATCTCGTCACGATTGAGCCTCTGAGCTAGATCCGGTTCGTGAGCATGTGGGTTATGGGGGTCGTAGTGGGGTGCCTTGCTATAGGTACTGATGAGTCGTTGTGTGCCAAGATTAATGACATGCGCTAAACAACTGTCAGGGTTGTTAGTAGTTCCATCAACCAAACTGCAAAGACTTACTTTATCTTGCGTTGACGCCACGGGAAATCTTTGTGGTACTTCGCCTCATACAATTTCGAGAATTCCTGCAGCATGGTACTATTGTTTGCTGCATTGTCACATGTGATGTGGCCGATCTAGGTCGAGATATAAGCACAGTCATTGAGGAGGTGGAAATTTCACTGACTTTGTGTGCGACACCGACACGATCAAGCACCTTGAATAATGCACCACCTAGGTGCTGGCCATGATGGGCATTATTGAGCCGAGTAAAGCCAAGTAACGCATTCCCAGGTACCCATTGCATCGGATCGTTTTCTTCAATCCAGTGGCCAGTGAAAGCAAAATAACCATCTGAGTTATCGGCCTGCCATGAGTCACATGTGATATTGATTGCACCACTGACGGATTGGCTCTAAAATTGTGTCAGATAAGAGCAGATACTGTGAAGAATGTTACATACATTCAATTTCTTCTTCAGTTTGGTCAAAGGGTTCTTGAAAATATGCATGATTTCAGCACGTGTGGCCTTGCGGCCTGGAATCTTGACACCCTGTGTAGCACGGAAGGCGACATCTATCATTTCTTTGAACTTAGGGTGCTCAAGAGCCTGTATGGGCTAAATTCTGTTAGTTTACAGCCGACAATATCAATACGAACGAGTCTTACCTGATCTGTGGCGACAAGCCACTCAATTGCAGCTTTTCTAAAATTCTGGTGGGTGTAAGGGATGGTGAACTCCGACAATTTGCGCTCGGTCAAGTGCGCGTCAATCATTTGCTGTGCGTGTGCAGCTTTCTTTTTCTCAGCTGCGATGTCACCCGGCAATTTAGATGTGAAGGTGTTGGCTTTGGCCCATGTACGGTATTTTCCCTATGGACATTTAGATCTAGTACATCAACAAATAAATAAATGAGAACATACAGCGAATTTGGCTTCTGCATGACGGCGGAGAGTTGACGTCTCGTTTACAATGGTACATTGAGCCCTAGTAGTAGCAAATATGTAGTGTTAGTGATGTAAAGACATATGCAAATGATGTGACAACGTACGGACAAACTTTGCACTTTCGATGTTTTTTGACCTTGCCGTTAGCGTGAGTGCACTCAAACGGTTGACTGAAGAATTGGTCGATGTCACGAATTCTATCCTCCCATGTGGGAGATTCATCGATGATGGGCTGGACATCAATATCTGCAAGAATACCATCTTCGTCAACATCTTCTTGAGCTTTAGCAGCTTTCTTGCAACAGACTCGTTTGCCTGACGACACTAGGTCAGGAAGGTACATTATCTTGCAGATAGACTTACACTTTGGATTCGTCCGTGCATCTTCGCGTTCATCATCACCGGATATCTCATCTTCATCGATTTCTTCGACACGTGCCCTTTTGCTGGTGGTTTTAGGTGCGGTGGTGTCGATGTTCGGTGCAGCAGATGGGATGGGTGCTTGTGGTGGTTCAGTGGCCAGAGGATGGGTTTCATCAGTGTTCATCGATTTCTTCGACACTTGCCCATTTGCTGGTGGTTTCAGGTGTGGTGGTGTCGACGTTTGGTGCAGGAGCAGGCAGGATGGGTGCTTGTGGTGGTTCAGTGGCCGGAGGATGGGTGTCATCGGTGGTGCACTTCAACACCTCTGCAGCATGAAAGGACAAGTTGAGAGGGGAGAGCTGCCTTCTCGGAGTGCTCCAGGAGTGCAGTGGTCAGTTTGACTTTGTGCACTGGATGCACTACACATTGACTTGTCGTCACTGTCTGTATGGACCGTTCCAACCATTAGAGTTTTTCAAGTTAGAGCAAGGGTAGCGACGTACCAGTACCATAGCCATGAATCCCTTTTATCCCACTACAAAGGATCAAGATCGTGATGAAAAAGTATACTTCGAACACAAAGCAACATGAGATAGAGTAACATCAATGGTGCAAAGCACAAAGATGGGCAACCCACCTTTGTTTCTGACGTATGAAGTGTTTGTTGTTGGATTTGCGCGAAGAGACTAGAGTAGCAATGGTTAGACATATTTAGATATAGTAAATAAACTCGTACCTGATGTCCGGATGTCCACGGAAGTCTGTAACAGATGATTCGACTCCCTAAAGTAAGGATGCATTGATATCGATGATGAGCAGGGACATAAAGCCGCGGCTTGAGCTGCCAGCTTCGGCTTTCCAACAGCTCAAGCCAGGCCCTAGGCCGTTGTCAGGCCGTGACCTAGGCCTGGCTCGGCTCGGCCTAATCAGGCTCGGCTTTGGCCAGCCCACGGCCTGAAGCCGGGCCGTGCACTTCACTAAACAAGACACAGGGAACGGATAAAATGCCAAGCAGAAAATAAACACAAGCACTATCAGAGAGAAAATGATAGCGCAGCATCTCTGTGGGTGATGTCCCGTTCTGCAATGTGTAATGTCGCTAATGTTCACACTTCAGCACGACACTCGGAGATTGTATTCAAGTTTTTAAAGATGCCAAAGACGAGTTCATGGGTACAATCAGCTCACCGCGCCGATACATCGAGAACATTGTCCATGAATTCGTGAAAACTCTACCATGCGAACCTGAAGACTCAGTGTGTCCCAGGTCAGGTGACACTTCGATCATAAAAATGCCCTGTCGTTATTAGATGAGATTTACTCCATGGCTCGCTTGGGGATGGATACCATAGAGGAATTGTGCGGAGTATGTGTAGAGTGGCATGCTGCCAATGAAGTTTGTCTGGCTGTACTGGCTGTTCTAACTCTCCTCGAAGATGTGTTGTGCTTGGCAATGCACGCTGAATTGGTGGAGGCTGCTTTGTGTGGCGAGCTCATATACCAGCAATCACCTTAGCTACATTCATACACCGAGCTTTCAATGTTCTTGCTTCAAAGTATCTGAGAAAAGTTTCATTGGGGAAAGGGTACTATATGGACAGCGAATACTACTAAGTGATCAATGCAAACAATACGAGTATAGCAAGCGACTAAGCATACAAATCTAGCGGCGGCGCAAAGTCCTGACATGTTTTGTTGGTGGGGAGATATCGCATGCTACAGATCGTTTACGTGTACTAGTCCAGTTCCTAAGATGGCATTAGCAAATACTTAGTAGAAAAGAGAGTGACACACAAATTCTGGAGCCCCTTCAGTGACAAATTCCGTATTATACGGGCCACCCGACCTCCATAATATCCCGTATGAGACGGGCCAGCTGATCATGGGCCCATGTTGTGTATATTCTCGATGATGACAGATGGGCCGGGACTCATATTATTTCCGATGGAGACGGGTGGGCCCATGTATGCCAATGATATATATATCCTTAATGTTGACGGATGGGCCGGGGGAATATGATCATTCATGGAGATGGGTGGGCCCATCTGGGTAATATGTAGAGTAGGATATTATAGACAGCTGGGCTGAAGAGAGATGTAAGGCAAATATTGTTATATAGACGGGTGGGCCGACGTGGGTGTATTACATATATGGGTGGGCCGAGGTAGGGGAATATTACATAGACGGGTGGGCTGACGTAGGGTGTATTACATATACAGGTGGGCCGACGTGGAATGTATTACATATACGGGTGGGCCGACGAAAGAGATATCAAATAGACCGGTGGGCCGAGGGTGCTATAAAATATTTATTACATAGACAGGTGGGCCGAGGTGGGGTATAATTATATAGACGAATGGGCCGATGTAGGATGTATTATATAGACGGGTGGGCCAACATAGGATGTATCACATAGACGGGTCGGCCGACGTGGGGGATAATACATAGACGGGCGGGCCGACGGGGGTGTATTACATATATGGGTGAGCCTAGATATGTTCCATCAAGACATACAGCTGATGTAGCCACCAGCGAATCAAACACATAGGATACATGTACACTATCAGTGCATATACCTACCATCAACCACCAAATCTAAACCCCTAAGCACAAAAACATGAATCTATCATGTGTGGCATTGACCAATAATCCAGGACTGAAGTGGAAAAACCCCACACCTGAACCCTGGTGTGCAACAAATCCTATTTCTAAGCATGGACACCAGAAGCACAACACTCACAAAAATATATATGTCAAATTTTCAGTGCCAAACCCCAAACCGAGATGTACCAACCCCCGAACCCCGAAACCCGAGAGTGCCGGGTCTCGGGTCTCGGGTGTCCGGAACTCGGAACTTGGGAGAATTTGGGGAGATCAATACAATTTAATTTACAATCGAGTTGATTGACAACACATTGACTTACCCATGTTTTGCAATATATTTTTGTTTAGACATACCGAGTTCCGAGTTCCGGACACCGGAGACCCGAGACCCGAGACTGCCGGGTCTCGGGTGTCCGGAACTCGGAACTTGGGAGAATTTGGGGAGATCAATACAATTTGATTCACAATCAAGTTGATTGACAACACATTGAATTAACTATGTTTGCAATATATTTTTGTTTAGACATACCGAGTTCCGAGTTCCGGACACCCGAGACCCGGCAGTCTCGGGTCTCGGAACTCAGGTGTCTGGAACTCGGAACTCGGTATGTCTAAACAAAAATATATTGCAAACATAGTTAATTCAATGTGTTGTCAATCAACTTGATTGTGAATCAAATTGTATTGATCTCCCCAAATTCTCCCAAGTTCCGAGTTCCGGACACCCGAGACCCGGCAGTCTCGGGTCTCGGGTCTCCGGTGTCCGGAACTCGGAACTCGGTATGTCTAAACAAAAATATATTGCAAAACATGGGTAAGTCAATGTGTTGTCAATCAACTCGATTGTAAATTAAATTGTATTGATCTCCCCAAATTCTCCCAAGTTCCGAGTTCCGGACACCCGAGACCTGAGACCCGGCACTCTCGGGTTTCGGGGTTCGGGGGTTGGTACATCTCGGTTTGGGGTTTGGGGGTTAGTAAAATGTTTACAGATATACATAGGTTGATTTAAACATGTCTGGAAGATGTCGTTCGTCTAAAATGTCAAATCCTGAGTTCCGGGTGTCGGGACTCGGTACCCGGCACCCGGGACTCGGGGTTCGGCACTAATAATTTGACATTCGGGTGTTCGGGTTTTGGGTGATATCTACCTCAATCTGCAGTTTCGAGTTCTGGATATCGGGAGTGATCATTGAATGATTCAATTGTGGCATAGGTAACATGCATGGAAAAACATTTATGTACATCTATCACTGAGCAATTATGTAGCCATGTCAACCTCCTCACCAGGAAGATCAACCTTTCCCTCAACATCCATCTCCTCATCAGAAGAATCATATTCTGGCAGGAGGTTACCTGGTTCATTAGGGACCACAATATCGCCGGGCGATTCTGGCAGGAGGTTGCCTGGTTCATCAGGGAGATCAATTTCGCCGGAGGATTGTGGACCCTCAGGCTGAACTTGGGTGGGCTCAACCATGGGACCTACCACAGCAGATTCATGCTCAGGCGTCAAGGGTGTAGGTTGCATGACTGAAAAGTCCAAATCAATGAGGTTGGAAAGTGCGGAGGGGAGGGGTGACATGGACGGGGGGGGACCTCCTTGACCAAGCAACATTATTCCATCGGCCAGTGTGTCCGGAAGTGAAAATGAAGGGTGCCGGTCGACCACTGTGCGCCGGAGGCTCTCATGGAGGCGTTGCAGGGTATCAATCTTAGCATCCTGCTCCTGCACCCGAGCCTCAAGAATAGCGATGCGAGCTGCACCATCCCGAATCGCAATTGCCATGGAATGGAGATCCGGCATGGGAACATCGAGTGCTGCACGAGGCACTGCGACGCTGGAAGACCTGACTGCTAAGTAAAAAATTAGGTCAGCCGGTCATCAAAAGTATGGGTGACTTACTAGCTGGCGCAGGTGCAGGGACAGGTGCAGGAACAGGTGCAGGTGCAGGTGCAGGTGCAGGTGCAGGTGTCTTCTTGGTAGTGATGGTCTTGCTGCGACCATGTGACTGCACCTGGGGTGTGGTTGCAGCAGGGATGGCCGGAGTTCGGGAAGGGCCACGAGATTGACTACGAGTTCGGGCCCTTGACCGGGAGGGAGATGGAGCATTGGATGGAGCAGGGGCAGGTGTCTTGGAACACGTCCGGCCGGTGGTAGACTTCCCTCGGGTCCGTTTGGGCGGCGATCCCAGAGATGCAGGGTTGCATTTGATCTTCTTGGTGGAGCAGCGGATGCAAGACAAGCAGGGGAGGCTGGACCTCTTGTCCAATCGAGTCGCACAGGGCCAATTTTCCTTGACACAATAATGGCAGGGGTTGTTCTGTAGTATCCGTTAGTAGATGGACTAGAGGGAATATATTTGAGTACTCACTGGGCCGGGAATGGTGATATCAAATGTGGTAGTGGCCGGCGGGTCACCATCCGAAGCACTGGAAGTATCATTGGACTCCTCCTCAACTTCCGGACGCCTGCCGGAGGTTGCCTGACAGATTGTTAATACACATGAGTTTCTGGAAAACTTCTAGGACTTACCTGAGCCTCCGGACGACTGATGGGAGATTTCTAATGTAATGGGAATGAGTGGGAATTATACATGGGAGGTCCGGACATGTCCTAACGACTCACCATAACCTCCGGACGACTGCCGGCAGTCAGCTGTGGACACATGAGCATATAATTAAAGTCCAAACGAAAAATGCAAACTTACCGAAGCAGGCCCAAATGATTGCTTCTTGGGGGAACCGGGTGACCGAGGCGACTGGGGCTTCCTTACCACAATGGTGCGCTGGGGAAGGACGACCTCCGGCACTCCACGCGAAATCGGCTGCAACAAATTGAGAGCATGTCAGAAATCAGCCAGAACACATACCTGAACAATTGGGTCCTCATCATCTTCCGACTCCACAAACGGCTTCGACTTGGGGAGTTGAGTTGACTTGACACGCTTGCGAGCCTTCAGCGCCGACTTTGGAGGTTGGGAGGAGTGTCCCGAAATCATTGGAGACTTCCTCTTGTTGCTCCCCCCAACTTCCGGCGACAGGTCGACGGAGGTGGCCTTACCTTTTCCTTTGTCCCGGACCTCGGGGGTCGTCTTGCCGGAAGGTCCGGCGACGACCAGAGGTGAGGGAATGACGGGGGTGGGGGAAGGGACAAGTGCAGGTGAAGGGACAGGTGGAGACGGAAGGTTGAGAGTGAGTGGGCCAGTGGAAACGTTAGGGACAACAGGGAGATCACAGGAATTATCACCCAACGCCTCCCAGGCACGGACTTGCTTGCGCCAGGCGTGTCTAGCCACCCGGGGGTCATCGTGGCCAATGCTGTGCCAGTTGGGCAAAGCCCGGGGAGTCATGGAACGCACCCTCATCAGCTCCTTAGAGCAGGACGCCACAATTCCAGGGATGTACTCCCCTTTCTCATGGGCCCGGATGATGTCAGCCTACCCGGACATTACAAACATTAATGTTGCACTAATTTAATAGGTTCAACATACCAAAAGAGTGGTGACCTGCTTTGTTAGAACAAGGTGGACGTCCACAGAGCCGGCCGGGATGTGCCGGGCGCCGGCAATGATGCCCACAAGTTGAGCAGTGGATGCCTTGAGGTTGGCCAATGAAGATTGAACTTGAGTAGACATTTGGATGGAGTTGACAGATGTGAGAATGTTGAAAGCAGGGTGAAATCTGTTATCAATAGAATGAAGTTTCAAAGAAACAATACAATTGAAGGACCATGTTGAAAATTATATAGGATTCTTGTAAATAGGTTCGGTTAAATATATGGTTATGTTAACCCCTAGGCCCCGAAAAACGAAAATGGAAGGCCTACAAAATCCATTTTGGTAATCTATCATTACAAAATACAGCATATATAGCATATATCAAGTGTAGATCTAACTGGTACATTATAGCATCATAATGACATAACATACATCACACAAACTCATGGCTATACACACCAAAAATTCTTAATACATATATAGTATATCTAATGTTGACCTGTGATAGCGTTGAAAAATGGAGAAAATATCATATAGAAAGTATCATATCATATAGGAATAATATACGGTATAATGTATTCTAACGTCCGCGGTCGCCACAGGTCTATTGGCGGAACAACGGGAGCAAAAGAACGAATCAAACATACATACATGAACAGATAAATATAGTAAATTTCCGCACTTGGAACTGGTCCATCTGCGGACGTTAACAAGTTAATAGTCTATAATATATCATATATCATATATAAATGATAAAGATAAAGATAAAGATAGTAAAGATATATACCTTCTATCGACGCCAAAACAACATCACGTGATAACATCATGTGATGCTCGCGGACCTCCAGTGAACATGAGGCAGAGGCACAGGGCGAAGGGCGGAAGGCTAGGGTAAACCAAAAATCTGGGAGCCGGATAATAAAAATTTTCACTGTTAGTTACTTACCATCGTGTTGCCGTTGCGTTGCCCCACAAGATCAACAAATTTTCGAGCTAAATGGCACCAAAGAAAGCTAAAGGAGGAGGAAAGAAGGGAGGATCTGGAGGAGTAAGCGTTTGGCATTGACCAGCGCGAGGAAAGACTAACCAATGGCACACTAATGTTAGGATGAAGGTGGATCGCACCTGCTACTGAATCAGCGTCCGATAGAGGCAGCACCTCCGAAGATAGACCTAGGCAAGGAGACGCAAAAGTTAGACTCACGGGTAGCAAAATGCAGAGCTGGCGTTGCATGGGTCAATCTGCTGCAGATCGGAGACACCCTAAAGTTCGGCGTGTACAACGATCGCCCTGAAAACGACGCGGAAACGAGCAAACTGGTGGCGGCGTTCAAGACCCGCATCGTGCCTATGAAAGAAACATCAGCAATCCCAATCATTGTCGATCTTAAGCGGGTTGGGAACAAGGACTCACTGTTGCAAACGTTTGATGAGCCGGAGAAGGTATGCGAGCTGACAGTGAAGGATACGAACCCTATTGTAGTCGCGTCTGGTCAGCATCGTCTCTCGGCGTTGAGACGATACGCACAATCTGTACAAGATGAGTATGATTCGCTGGAGAAAAGGAGGATGAAGATAATCGGCATGCC